TATATCCAATTCCCAGATGACACTTTGATTCTTGGAAAACAAGACAAGAGAACCTAAAGAATTGGTTTCGATTGTTAAAAGTATTTTTGGAGCATCGCTCTCGTTCCTCGTAGTATTCAAGAGTCTATGCATTGATACTAAACCTATTGGGTGGTTATATTTTTCTCACTTGCTATTCTTTCCCTCCCTTGGGTTTGGTATAAGGTTTTGAAGTTGGGGATTGTTAGGGACAAGGGACCACTCTCTACATCTTCATCGAGACGATAATGTCCAATGTGGGCATAATCCCTCACGGTTTTACTTTTGGTATCACCCAAGAGGCTTCAATCATAATGAGATGTTGTCTCTAACTTATATACCCAAGATCTTCCCCTTACCTATTCAATGTGAGACATTGATTGCATTCCCAACAATCTTACCCTCGAATAGTCATCCATCTTTGTCTTATTATGAGCACATGATCTTTAACAAGGCATCACTCATCTACACGAGAGCATACTATTTGTTGTATAGTTAAACTACRAATTTCTAGAAACTCGCAAGTTTCATAGGGACCCGAGGATTCTACCCACATGACTAGGTTAGAAGCATCAAGCATGACTCAGATACCACTAGTTAGAGACAAGGAACCACCCTCCACATCTCCATTGATATGACATCRTCTATTTTGGCATAAAAAGCCCTCATAGGTTTGGCCCAATGCATATGAAGATATTGTCTCTAACTTATGTACCCAAGAGGACAATATCCTATAGGGTGGTTATGTTTTTTTTTCTTTTGACAAGTCAAAGAAAAGATACATTTCATAGGTTTTAAAAAAATAGAGTTGCTATTTAGTGGTGGTCAGTATAAAGATATGGCCAGCACCTAAGTGTTATTCTTTAAGAAAAAAACATTTGATACCAACATTGTTGGATTATAGGACTATTTTTCAACTTCATACCAAAGAAATGAAACTTAACAAGAGATAAAACAAAATATATAATGTTGAAAGGAAGAACAAATTCAGTTGTTCTAACTTCTAGCAATAGATCAAACATGAGAACAAAAAAATGAGAAGAAACAAATTTTGAAAAATAATTTCTAGAGAATATCTGCACAAAAGTCATATAAAAAAAACGGAAATTGTTTAGATCAGCTATAAATAATCTCATGTATTAATTAGAAAGCATAGTTGACTGATAAAAGAACACAGAAATTAGAAAAATATCGTGCCACTATATCACAGAAAAATAGGCAAAAAATAAACGGGTAAAAAGTCGATCTGACCTGAGAGAGAAACCCATTGTACAGTGGATTTGAGTTTGTATAGTTGCTGGCAACATGTTCCACAAACTCCCTGAAAAGCAAAAGTCATATAAAAAAAAGGAAATTGTTTCTAGGGCAGCTCTAATTAATCTCATGTATTAATTAGAAAGCATAGTTGACCGATAAAAGAACACAGAAATTAGAAAAATATTGTCCCACTATTTCACAGAAAAATAGGCAAAAAAATAAACGGGGAAAAAGTCGATCTGACCTGAGAGAGAAACCCATTGTACAGTGGATTTGAGTTTTTATAGTTGCTGGCAACATGTTCCACAAACTCCCTGAAAAGAAAAGCACAAAGACCCTTGTAAAGTCTAAAAAGATCCAAGAGTTCCAATATCAAAGCATAATCCTCTGGTTTTTGTGCAGTTTGGTTTTTTTTAATAATCAAAGCCAAAACAAAAAATAGTGGATTTTCTCATTTCCCTAACTGAGAAATCCTTTTTCTGTTTCAAAAAACCGGGTGGAACCAGTTCAATTTGGACTCATTCAGTTTTCTGAACACCCTTAACAAGCATGTTTCTAACCTGTTAAAAACAAATGCAAGAGCACCACAGGTGAGAAAGTGAAACCAAAAACAGTCCTAAGATTGAAGCAGCTACCCAAGATTTTTTTTTTGATAAGAAACAAAATGCATTGAAACAAAGGAGAGAAAGACAAACTAAAGGCAGGGACCAAGGAGGCCCCCAAAAAGCTAACGGATTACATATTTCCAATCAAGAGCAAGTAAGATTATACTATAATTACAAAAGAATCTCCTACAAGTAAGGCCAAGAGGCTGTAGTAGACTGTAAATTTTCATAAAAAAACTGCCCAACCCGTTTCATTTACATATTCTATACCATCAAGGAATTACATAATAATCTCAAAAACCAAAAAGAATTATAAGCCAGCAAACCTGAGGCATTTTATCAAAGACAATCTTCCCCTAATTAAAAAACCTCTTCTTACTAGTAACCGAACCAATAAGACTCCATGTTACTACAAGGTAAAGAACTTTTAAATTAAAATAACAAATTATGTTTCATGTATAGAGTTATTGAATCATGTCAAAATAATTGTTTTAACACGCAGTTATTGAATCATGTCAGAATAATTGTTTTAACATGTCTTATATAACGTTTTTAACATATTTCGGTACTTATTAACTCAGAATAAAGTACAAATGATTATCTAATCTGTTAATTGTGAATATAACCGTAAAAACTTGATAGATATACAAATATTAACCAAATAAATATTTATATATATATTAAAGACTATATAAACAATCAAATTTATATGAACATAGAAACATACCTTGAATGAAGCTGTCGGTAGGAGAATCCCTTCTTAATCATCTATGTTCCTCAATCAAGTAGTGCATAAAGCATCTCTCGAAGCTTGTAATCTCGCCACCTTATTCCTTTATGGTCCCCACACGGCCTGTAAGTCAACAAGTTCAAGCCATCGGTTACGTTTCTCTAAGTTATTTTTTACATGGGAAAATTTTTTGCTTTCCTATGTAAGAAACACATCAAAATCCAATGGGGAAAATTTTTGGGACAATACAAATTAAAAATCTTTTTCACGAGAGGAAATCTAGACTGGCAGAGGGGAGAATCTGGTCAAAATCAACCTTGATATGATATCCCAATCCCCGTTCCAAATCCGCGAATTGGTCACTGAAGTTGCGGCCGAAATCATCTCCATCAAATCCGATTTCTAAACCCAAAGATTCCTTCGCTGCAGCCATAAAATGCTCAGTCTTCGACACCGCCGGCGACACAGCCACCATAGRCAACCACCGTCGCACACGAGATCGGGCTCCATCACTGGATCCGAGAACACACTTTCGTCGGCAATTTCCGATCCGACCGACGAGGATTGGAAGCAAAACGGCGGAAAAACGGTGTTCAATTCCACAGATTTAACCTTGAGATCAAGTTGTTCAAAATCGAACCAGTTTTCGGAATTAGGGTTTGGTAAATTTTGGTTGGAGATAAATCCACTATAATGAGAGGCGAGTATAAGCGAAAACATACCAGTTTTACCAGACGGTTTCCTTGGCGTTCGAATATCGTGGGAATGAGGAAGTCCTAAAGAATCAAGATCAGACGGCGGCGACATTGAACCCCCGATTGTTTAAAATCAGTGAACTCTGAAGATTTCGAATCGAAAACTTAAATCGAAGTCGGAAGTGGCTCGGGAGTGGGAAGAGAGCGAAGAAATTCTCAAGAAGAAACTATAACCAGAAGAGAGCCACGAATTGTACCGTTAGAAAAGTTTTCGTGAAGACGAAGCTAAGCGGACAACATATGGTTTGTTTTATGGGCTTCTGTTCAAAGCCCGGTTTTATTGTGTCTGGAAAGCCGACGTTGGTAATTTGTCCGCATCAGCTTATGGGCTTTCCAAACCCATCCAGTCGGCCCATTAAACCAGCTAAAAATAATTTMTAAAACGTAAGGTGTGAACTGTCCAATCTACCCCCAGTTTTTCCATTCTACTCGTGCTATTTGATTCTTATTTATTTTTTAATACTAAAAGTGCTATTTGATTTCAAAAAATGTCCAGCGTATAGTTTATTTTCATTTTTTTTTTTTGTTTTTCTGCTCTTTTTTGTGTTCAACAACAACATGTAGGGGTATGAATGCCCACAACTCTATTAATCAAGTATTAAATTTTGAAATGGATTCAACTTTTTTTTAAATGAATAATAAAAAATTAACAACATTGAAATGGGTTTAAAATTTAAATATTAATATTTCATGTATACAATTGGGTAGTGTTCAACTTTACCAAACATAATAAGATAATAAATTTCAACAGTACAAATGAACAATAGGGGAAAGCCATACAATTATTTTTAAAAATGGGTTTAAATCTTACTAATTGATTTATGATTAAATAATGCCGAAAACTTTACCAAAAATGATAATTTTGAAAACATTGCTAGTACGTAATTCTAACTAATGGTAACAACTACATCGTTATGTCTTCAATATCCCATCACTGTGATTAATTACAATGAAAGATATTTGAAGTACCAAGACTTAAAATTGTGGTGGTAATTACATTCTTTCTTTAGAAATTATAAATAACGATAATGCGAGCATTTTCTTCTTTTCAAATTTTTTTATTCGTGTGAAATATTTTAGATTCTTTAGAGGGGGAAAACTTACAATTATTTGCTTGTATTTGTAAACAATATTAGTCAAAACTTGACTCTACTCGAGCCGATTTTTTCCAGCATCTAACAAAAATTTATTTTAAACATTATTAGTTACCTATATGCCTGATAAGCTGTTGTAAAAAAAGTATTGCGTACTGTTGAAAAGAAATCCCTGCTCCCGCTTCCAAAAATGACCAAGTCACATGAACAAATTGACCCGAACTTTTTTTCGGTCATTGTCTCATCAATGAACATAGATGGATAGAATAAGTTCATCCCTAATACTGTTCATCACTGCAAGTAAGTTCTTTGGACATCCCAAGGTTCATGTTGATATAGTTATTTGGAGCACTTCATATAAAATGTGAAAACTATGTGAATGTAATGAATTCCTTGGTGGGCGTGGGCAATATGGTAATACAATTTGCATCCAGCACTTGTAGTTATCATGAAAATAAAGGGCTGGAGAAAATTTAAATTAAATAAAATACTCCGAATCCAAAATTTTGTGGTATCATGTGAAGTACCCAACTGACACTTGTTGTAGTAAGACACAGGACACGGCCAAGAAAATAATATCTCAAAGATTTGAATGTAAGCGTCACTCCAAATTGCATAAAAATTAAGGCTACAAAATAAGATAACTCTGGTCCCATCTGACCTTTTACAAGAAGAAAACAAGATCTCGAAATGCTGCAAATAAATGTGTCCCTGCAAGAGGAAAACAGACACTCAAGTTAAAATCATATGAATGTGTATATGTATAACTTTGTTTAAAAGTAAGATTTGAAGGAAATTCCACCCAGCAGAAGAAATCACCACCGATTAGAGAAGATGAGCACTTTTGTAAGATGGAAAAAATGTCTTTTCATGTATGAAATCGTTTGATGAATCAAATTCAATACCAAGCGATTAGGAAACAAAAGCTAGAACATGACACAATGATGCCATATCTATTAAAATCACCCAGTTAAGATGCATGACATAACAGAAAATGCAGAACAATAGAAACTCAAACACCCGAACTCGCAGACAGACAAATTTTCAGAGTCTTCAGATTCTAACCAAATTAAAGGAAATAAAGAATGAGATTTACCTCAAGCATATTTCAACGCCTGTCTGTTTTTCCAGTAGAACGCTTTCCTGAATACAAGTGCTTTGGTTTCAATGTCGGTATTACCCTATCTGCCTCACCACGACGGGCATTCTTATTCCTCTTCTTCACAGATTTCTTTGCAATCTTTAATGCCTTGACCTTTTGGACCGAGTCCTTGAATCCATCTCCAGGGACAACCTCACTTGGAGGCCGAGATTGAGACCTAGCTCTTGACAAGGATCTAGACCTCATTCGCAGCTTCTTATTTGGTGTTTCTTCATCCACATCCATAGCATCAGACCCATTGGTACCCCTGTCGGGAGATCTCTCCCTCTTGCGCCCTCGTGACTTGCTACGCGCTCGGTTAACTGCCAAACTAGGATCCAGACCCAAGGCCGATAGCTGTCTCCCCATTCTCCCTGCTGTGTATTGCCGGTCTTTATCAAATTTTCTTGGCACCGTGGGTCGACTTTCTGCAGTGCTCTTCTTGATCCTATGCTGTTTAATAAGAACACTTTTCTTTCTCCTGATCTCAGCCAAAGCTTCTTGTTCCTCTGGAGTCAATTCAGCTCCATCCATCTCAAAATCACCCTCCACTTCTTCTGCTTGCCTATGCCCTTCTTCTCTTTCCAACTCTTCAAGTCTAAATAAAATATCAGGATCAATGAAGTCAGAGACATTGTGCCCATCTAGAATTTCAGGCATAATGTCTTCCTTCCATTCATCATTGGCCAAGATATAATTCTTCTTCAAACTGGCAGAATATACACCAGCACCACCATTCTCATCTTCCAAATCCTTCTCAAGTTTCCTATTCTGCTTCTCTGCAGCTTCTTTTGCCCTGGCTTCCAACACTGCATCAGGTATGCAAGGTGGCCTTTCCTTCTGATCCCGAGGCTTCGGCATAGCTACATGAAACCGATTTAAGCAGTCGTTGATCTTTTTGGACTTCATCTTTAATTCTACCCGCTGATTTAACAATCTCTCGCAGGCAGCATTCTTGACAGCAATAACACCTTCCTCCGTCAAGGTGCTCATAGTAAGCAGCACCCCCTCTTCATTTGTAGACTCACCTCCTTGACCCATCACAGTTTTCATAGCTTCAGCTTTCATTTCCTTGACCAACTTCATGTCTTCCTCTGATAAACCATCCAGTGGCTGCAAATCAGTTTTGTTGCAGACGATAATCAATGGTTTGTTCATAAATAAAGACTTTATACTGTGAAAAAGAGCCGCCTGCTGAGCAATTGTATAACCGCATGACCCAGATATGTCCAAGAAAAACAAAACAGCAGCTCTCAGATGAGCCAACGCAGTAATACTGCACATCTCTATGATGTTACGATCTTCAAATGGCCTATCCAAGATCCCTGGGGTATCAATCACTTGGTACCTCAAGTACTTATAGTCCGTGTGACCCACGAAGAGTGACTTTGTTGTGAAAGCATACGGCTGAACATCGACATCAGCTCTAGTTATCTTGTTAATAAATGAGCTCTTACCAACATTAGGATATCCACAAATCAAGATTGTTCTAGTATTAGGGTCAATTGATGGTAATCTTGCCATGTGCTGTCTAATCTGCTCTAAGTAAGCCAAACTAGGGCCGATTCTCTTTATCACAGTGCACATCCTTCCAAGAGCAGCAACCTTCAGACACTTGCAACGGTAGAGTGAATCACCATACTTTAACAGTTTCACATAGTCTTTAGCAATCTTACTAATGAGATTCCTTGCAGTGTTAATCTGTCCAAGGGCAAGCTTATAATGATCTTTATTGTACAGAACATGAAGGAGATCACCATAAAAGGGATGAATATCATCCAGCCTAGGGAATTCATCAATGATATTAGAAAGCTTTTCATGGAAGTTCTGCTGAGTATATTTCACTTTCCTCATATAAAACTGACGCAACCGAGATATGGCATAACCCTTGTGGACAACTGTGGGAGTTTGCCGTTGGGTGCGGGAAAGAATAATATCAATAAAATCTTTTCCATTAGGTACCACAGTAATCTTCTTGAAGTTATACTGCACCATTTTCTACCCTGCAACAAGCATTGCAGTTGTCCATATCAACTTGAAAATAACAGTTCTCGTGTTATCTAATATAAATCAGAAAGATAGCGAATAAAATTCATACACTCAAAACAATAAGGTGCGATTAGAAAAATCTAATAGTGAAACATGCAATAAACTTCAACCCTTCAGAACCATTGTTGAAAGATCCCGTCTAGAAACTAGAAGAACTAACGAAGACAGTCTTGAGTTTGGAGTCGGTCTGCTGAGCAGAGAAATCACAACAGTAAGGTAAGATTGGTATACTGAGATCCCGCCCAGCGATAAGTTTGTCGAACACATTGAACATGATGAAAGGTGTACAATGCAAGATCAAATTACTATAGCCTGAATAACCGATCTATTACCCGATAGCAACACAATTACCATAAATAAAACAATGTATATTCCCTACGAATAACTAAACATGGGTATAAGATCAGTCGGATTCATATAACCACAAAAAAAATTTCCTGATAATTGAGTCACCTTGCTAATCTCTACATGTCATAAAGGCAGCAGAAAGGAACCAGAAATTCTTCGACCAAGAAAAAAAAACAGCAACAAACCTTGCTTGCTTCCTCGTATGATAGGTCGGAAAACACAAATAGCAGATTTGATATCGTTTCCGGCAAACAGAACAGATCAGATTCCAAAAGAACCGGAAATCAGAGAGAAACAACAACCTTACGGCGTTTCACTTCGGGTTTTGCGAAGATTACCTAGCTGCATTCGGACTTCGAAGAGCCCGAGAGAAACTGAAACAGACGACGGCAGAAGTAGGGTTTTAGGTTTATATATAGTTTTGCTAAAATACCCTAGGGGAAAAAAAATCAAAATGCCCAATTTGTTTAAATATGTTTTTAATGAATTACAAAAAATACAAAGTAAAGAATATAATATACTACTATGGTTAAATAAATATTACTGTCAATTTTTTAATTTATATCAGAAAAAAAAGAAATTATCACATAATATGTTATTTTTAGAAAAACATAAAAGTACAAATATTTTTAAACATGCATGACAAAAAAAATGTTTAAATATGCATTTTTATGGAAAGATTTTTAATTATACTTAAAAAATGAAAATTATACTGCATAGCATAATAAACATGTATTTATAGAAATATATTATTTTTAAGATTACAGAAGTAATTTTTGACAGGTTTCATGTAATTCTACAACTTTTTTTTCTAATTTTCAACCTAATACTATATATAAAAATGCATATTTCTATTGTACCCTTTTATATATATATATATATATATATATATATATATATATATATATATATATAATATTCCGGAGTCAAAGTAGACGAGATAAAATAAAAATAAAACTGAATTAAAAAGAAATCTTAAGGGTTATGAATTAAATTGTTCTGCCATCTAGAATTTTAATTTTAATCTTAAAAATTATGACGACGATCGAGGACTGAATGGTGAACGATTTATCTACATTGGTTCACTATTGTGATATTGTCCATTTTGTGCTTAAATGAGCATAATTTTATTTTTCATCTAAAAGGCTTCATGTAAATTCAAATATTGTATGGTCAACGTAGGACATTATTATTCACATCCCGAATAATTGTAATCAATATTTTAGATATATAAATTGTTTTCCATTTTACGTCTTATTATCTTTGTACGCTTGAAATGGGTGGTTACAAATATAATACTATTTTCCTGCACTAGTATTGTAATTCGCTCCAGTAATATATTTTAGAGAAAATAAGATGAATTACGGTTTTGTAAATGTACATTAGAATAGAATACCAACCGCTGTTTAATTTTTTGTACTTTCTGAAAACCCTTAAAAATCATAGCCATGTCTTGGAAATTAAAAATTATGTTATAGGAAAAAATGATAATTTCAAAGTTAGACTTATTGGGGAAAAAGTTATTAGTTAAACAAAATATGCAGAAAAAAATACTAAAAAATTTTTTTGGTGACATTTTCATTTTCAATTTTTTAAAAATATAAGTCGTTTTAGTAAAACGTTCAAAAATTTGTGTTGAAATATTGAAAAAAAACAAAATCTAAGTTATTTGTTTATTATTCCTTCCAAAACCGAAGTAAAAGCATTGTTTTATCAAGAATGCATAACACAATTTAAAAGTAACTCAAATAAAACAATTTAATTTTTAATTTTTAATTTCATGTAAAAGTTTACTTTGAAATTTTAGAAAGCCACAAACAAGATATAATTATTAGACATAAAATTTTCATCAAACCAAATAGAATCAATATTGTTACCCTAGAAAATTTAGCCTATAAAATGAAATAGCAACTCCTTTGTTAAGCTTGTTCCGTTAGAAAATAGTTGATGTTTCTCGACGCACGTTTATTTTTTAATATCTGTAAACATCTAAATTAACTTGTGMACACCTCGACTGACCTCACTTTGCAGTACTGTTTCTACCTCATTGGAAAAGGCAGGGCAAGATAGAAAGTATATATATACTTCTAAATATGGCCTTCGAAATCCCCCTGCAAGTTCATCACACTTAAATCTCATAACCTATATTTTACTGAGAGTCACAGACTCGCAACATGTGAAGAATAGCTTAACTTTCCCTCTTATTGATGTCCCTTAGGGAAATGAAAATTTCTGGTCAGAGTACAACATCAAGGTAACATAAATGTCAACCATCAAATGATGTCAGGAGAAGCATTCAAAATACATTAAAGAAAAAGTATAGTAATTCTAGCATCGAAGACGCTTCCGAAAAAAAAAATATATGTCGAGTTTCTTTGGGGCATCGATAAGTAATTTTTTGAAAGAGCAAACAAAATGCAGACATGACCTCCAGACGCTTGAATCGCACCAATCATCCAAATATCTGGGGCACTTCCATTATTTGCAATACCCATCGAAGTTGGAATTCCCTACACAGCATAGGATGGAGATGTTCAGAATTGTATCATAAGATAAATATTTCATATGACACTTGAATAGAATAGCAATGGAAACAAAAATGTTCACACCTCTACACATCAATGTTAAAGAAATTGTAAGAGAAATGAGCCCCTCTTCATTGCAGCATATACTGCTGAAGAGAAAAAATAATCACCCAGAAGAAGTGAAAACATCTAACCATATTGGATTTGATAAAATCTTCGGAAAGAAAACCACTAAAAGTCCAATGATTTTTGTTTGGCTTTTCTGTTTTAGATGAGAAACAAAATTCTACGGCCTCTTTACTCAAACAAGACGGTGATCAACAGCTATCGAGAGTTTAAGTTCATCAGTCGCTAATTTCTGTGTCTGCCCTTTGCTTCACCCACAAAATCATAGTAGAAAAAAACAAGAGAAAAAAAATCTAGAGACATTTTATCAGTGATGATGACTACAATAGGCATTTCCAAGTTGGAAAGCTGCGTAATGAATTCACCTGCTTTCCAATATATGAAGAACAAGAAAGAAGTCACGTTCTGTAATTTGATGTAGATGAGATAAAGAAGTACACTCCATTGCAAGTCAGCTGTGAAATTTTAAATGGCTTCTAACATCATCCACTCTCCTATAGGTGATTTCAAAAGAGTTAAACTAATAAATTAAATTAAAAGATCCATTCAGGGATATTACATGTTTAATTGCATCATCAAATCAATAACAGACAGCAGTTTTCACCTTTATGATAATTATTGGGCTACAGGAGCTAAGTAAAAGCCACCAAACAAGCTCATATTAGGTTTGCTAATATAATTAGCAAGGAAAAGATTCAAAATAAACCTACCTGAATGAGAATACCTATGCAGCAGCCTCGATCAACTCCCGTTCTGCACGTTCTCTGATCCTTCTTTCAAGCTCAGGCCTAAAATGCCTTATAAGACCCTGCACAGGCCAAGCCGCAGCATCACCAAGGGCACAAATGGTGTGCCCTTCAATCTGCTTGGTAACCTCTTGTAGCATGTCGATCTCTTCCAGCTTTGCATTTCCAACTTTCATTCTTTCCATTATCATCCACAGCCATCCTGTACCTTCTCTGCAGGGAGTGCACTGTCCACAGCTTTCATGCTTGTAAAAATAAGAGAGCCTAGCAATAGCATCGACAACATCAGTCGATTTATCCATGACAATTACAGCTGCAGTGCCCAATCCAGACTGAACAGCCTTTAGTGCATCATAATCCATAAGCACATCATCACAAATGTGCTTGGGAAGCAACGGAACGGAAGAACCTCCAGGAATTACAGCAAGCAAGTTGTCCCATCCACCTCTAACCCCTCCACAGTGCCTTTCAATTAGTTCTTTCAGTGAAATACTCATTTCCTCTTCAACAGTGCAAGGCTTATTCACATGTCCTGATATACAAAACAACTTTGTACCAGAGTTGTTCTTCCTTCCAAAACTGGCAAACCATTCTGGTCCACGCCTCAAAATGGTGGGAGAAACAGCCACTGTCTCCACATTTGTGACGGTGGTAGGACATCCATATAAWCCTGCATTAGCAGGAAAAGGAGGTTTCAATCTTGGCTTCCCTTGTTTCCCTTCAAGGCTTTCCAATAGAGCTGTTTCTTCGCCACAAATGTAAGCACCAGCACCAAAGTGGATATGAACATCAAAATCATAACCAGATCCACATGCATTCTTGCCCAAAAATCCAGCTTCATAAGCCTCTTTTCTGGCCCTTTCAAGGTTCTTTCGTTCATTTACATACTCACCTCTGATGTATATGTAAGCTGCAGTAGCCCTCATCCCTACTCCAGCAATCAGACAACCTTCCAAGAGTTTGTGCGGATCATGCCGCATGATTTCCCTGTCCTTACAGGTTCCCGGTTCACTTTCATCAGCATTGACAACAAGATAGGAAGGGCGACCATCAGATAGCTTGGGCATGAATGACCATTTGAGTCCAGATGGAAATCCAGCACCTCCACGACCTCGGAGACCAGACTTCTTGACTTCATTGACAATCCAATCAGCACCCTTGAGTACTAAATCTTTCGTTCTGTACCAATCTCCACGTTTCATGGCACCTTTGAGAAAGGGATCATTTAAACCGTACAAGTTGGTAAAGATTCGGTCCTCATCCTTCAGGCCGCCAAAATGAGTTCTCTCTGGAGGTGGAGGAGGTGRGGGAGGCTGAGGACTGCTGGTAGCTGCAGCACCCTGATTGCTAAATGCTCTCAACCCTATCCCCCACCTATCAGTATAACTCCTTGCCAATGCTGTTCGTTGAAGACGGAGGATGCCCCTCGCTGGTGCCTGAAGAATAGTGAATTATCAATATACAACGGAGTTAATAAATTTTTGGCTATTCAAACATACGTAAACTCAGTTAATGATAACAGTTCAAATGGGGAAATTATAAATATATATAAAAAAAAAAGAAGAAGAAGAACAAGAACAAGAACAGGAAGAAGGGGGTACACTTAAAAACCACTAAAGGGTTAGCATGCAGAGACCTATTGTAAACTTTCATACAGATGCTAAAGAACGTAAAAACCCTCGAACAGAAATAAAATTTGAAGGATTTCTACAACCCAAAAGTGGYTGCATCGTACGATCCCATAATTTTCCAGTTCGAACCCTCAGCTGACAGGTAACACTAAAATAGCGAAATCAAAAGCACTCGAAACAACAAATTATTGTCTAAATTTCATAACAAGTTCGAAACATTCGAATTCATACGCTGAACTAAATAGGAACAACTCAAAAATGAAATGTGAAATAAAAATAACGACAAATAGGTAATGAGAAAATAGAAATCGAACAGAATAAATATATATTTCTTACCATCGTATGAAATGCTTCCGATGAGCTGAACCCAGTGACACGCCTGCGATTAAAGGTGATTTGCAGAATCGAATTTAGATGAAGAAGGGAGTGAGAAGGCAMGGAGGATGAAGACTACGCAGATTTATTGATCACGATGGTGTTTGATGGAGTCAGCCATCAAGCGGTTGAGATTGAGCTGGGCTTCGTGGTGATTAAGAGATACACGTGAGAAGATTTATTAGTCTTAATCCTAATTCCAACAAAGAAAGAAAAAAAGACAGAACAGATCCGAAAATTACCGGAAATTAGAGAGAAAGAACGACGAACCCTGTGGAGTTCTACTTCAGTTCAGATCAGCGAAACGATTGCTTTGCGTAATTTTAATTTGTTCCGAATTTTGTAGAAATACCTAGCTGCATTCGGGCCTTCAAGAGAACCCACTAAGAGAAAAAAATCAAAAAAAGACTACTCGTTTCGCTCAGGGAATAAAAAAAAATCGAAATGCTCAATCTGTTTAAGTAGACAATTTTCCTCGAACAAAATAAAAACTATATAAAAATTAAAATATATATTAAGAAAAATTACCATCTCATTGTTCGACAAAAAATTCAACGAATAGAAACTGGAATTTATGAACTTATATGAAATAGAAACTGGAATTTATGAACTTGTATTTGTATTTATTTGTATTTATGTATGTGGGTGTTACAATCTCTAATATATAATCTTCTTCTTTTTTCTTGCTCTCCCCTCTATTTATAGAGTTTTGGTGAGTCTTATATGGGCCATGGGCTTAATGGGYCATGGGCTTGGGTCCAGTCTCTTTATAGTTTTGATCCAATTAGTTGATTTCATCGGACAGCCATAAGAGAGACACGTGGCATAATTAGATTCGTCGATATTAAAATTAATTTAGGACACGTGTAATTTTATCATTGGTCCTAAATGTAATTTTAATTTTGTGACGTGGCGTTTAGTGATTAGCCGAAATTTCTCTTTCAACACTGAGCCGTCTATCATTTAGATTCATGAACTTTGAAAAATTGTAAAAATTGTATAATAAGTGTTAGGGTAAGAATTTAATTTTAGTATCCAACATTGATAGCTCTATATACCATAAATCTGTACATTGGTGTAGTGCTACTGCGAGGCGAACACGCTCCAACAATACTCAAAYAAGCAAGGTATTTTGTTGAGAATAGCAAAAAGTGGAATTATTTGAACTTCGCGTCATAGTCTCAAGTCTTATTTATATATAGGGGAGAATCTATTTGGGTTGGTTCGAGTGGACCAACTCGAACGAATTTGGGTCCGCTCATATCTAGTCTAATTGGGTGATTCGACTATTTTTTAAAATTCACAAATCTAATAAACATTAAATGTTAGGTTAAAATACTATTTTTGTTTCTATACTTTCAGGTTTTGTTCATTTCAACTTAAGCTCATTTTAGTCTTTGTATTTTCAAAATGTCCGTTTTCGTTTTTGTACATTTATGAAGTGATCATTTTGRTTCCTATTTTCAATATTTTAACACATATTATACATTCAATGAAAACCTTTTAATATAAAGTCATAATTATATTTCAAGAAACATATTGAGTTTCATGTCGTATTAAAATTGTAATAGAAAAAAATGAGATTAAAAAATAAAATTAAGGAACCAAAACGAATATTTTGTAAATACAAGTACCAAAATAAATCAAAATTGAAATGACCTAAATTTTAAGTTCTCTCTTGTCACGCACTCTGCTCATTGTTTCCTTAAGTAGGGATATATACCTAAACTAATTAAGCTAAATTCAGGTTAACCATTTTTCACAACACTATTTATTATTATTGTTTTTTTTATAAGGCACAACGTTGGTTGTTGTACATTTGAAAATGGGTAAATGTAATTACAACATACTGTTTGTCTGGCATTATTTTTGCAATTTCTTCAATTAGTAATATATTAGATAAATATAATAAATTTTATGATAGGGTAAATATACGGTTAAGTTACCAATTTACTCTATCATCTAGACTTAAATTTAAATTAGTTCCCAAAGTTATAAATTTGGCATATATGACCTAGGCTTAAATTCACATTTTTCCATTAAAATCAATTGGTTAAACTTTAATGTAATTAATTAATTTAAATTAAAAAACAAATCGCATATTTATTAAGGCAACAACTTAGAAGGAAAATGAATAATTTACGAGATACGACTAAACTATAAAATCTAAGTAAAAACTTTTAAAATTATAAGAGTAAAAAAGAATTTATCAGAAAACATGACAACTAATTTTGCAATTTAACCATTATTCCATGGAAAGACGATTTTATCTATATTTATTTTGAATAGATTCGTCAAAAATTTAGAAAATAAGACATATTTTGATAAAATCACAAATACATATCTACTAATGAGGTTGCATTAACTATCATTGGTATGATTAGAATGTTTGATTTATCCGTTGTAAAGCTTAACTCAATGATAATTGACACAAGTCTCTAACTAAAAGATTATGAGTTCAATCCCCCACGTCTCTAATTATTTGTAGAGCGGATGAAAAGCTATTTTAAGGCTGTTGATCTAAAGTTCTCCTATCATCGATCCACTTTTAGATAAAAATTCTCATGTTATTGATCCTTTCTATCCCCAATTTTAGACTTTCCAAATTTAACTACTGATGAGGTTGCATTAATTATTTGCTAGATATACATACCCAACAACCAGATGGGGATCTGGAATCTGTCTGACATTATTTTCACCACATTGTCTCTTTATCAACACAACTCAATCTTGAAGGATGACATAGAGAAGTCAGTATCAAAGTTGGAGGAAAGAGTTTACAATTTAGAAGGATCTTGCATGGATGCTATAATTCTTCCCCTTCATGGTTCATTGCCACCAGACCTGCAGGCAAGCAACTATCTATTTTCTCTCAAATCAGGAACGATAATACCGCTCCTGGGAAGATCGAGAGATATGTTGACAAAATTTCCAGAAATGTCGCAAGCCCGAAGCCATTTATCATCAGAATGAGTCAGGTAATGAAGCCATTCTTGAAACTGTTCATCATTTCAATTCCTTCTTAGGATCGGGTGCTATGTGGTTTGGGAGAAAATGCAAAACATGGTTTATGAAGAGGCTTTTGCTACTGGATGTTATAGAGCCCCATGCAAACGCCAATTGCCCTGCAACATCTTCCCAATATCTCATGCTTGTACCACTTCAAATATCTAAGGAAGCCAATCAATCAACTACGATCTTTTGCAACTAAATAATGGAATAATGGAAATCCAAACCTTTCGACTGCCTTGCAGGAGGATGATGCCACGATGTGCCCACCAACCTCCTGAAAGAACACCATATTTGAGGGTTATAACTTTATGCCAAAGAATATGTTTTCCAAGGGAAACATCCAAAGCCATTGTCCAAGGAGACCATATCAAATTATCGAAGCCAAACTCCAAAAATATAGCTAATTTAGTCTTGCCCCATTGCACGATGTGAAAATCCCCTGCATGGACAGAATATTAGCAAGACGACAGAAGCAAAGAAAATATTTAATAAACTACATCTAAAAGATATCTAGGAAACTAATACAATTTACATCCTTAGATTGAGACCATTTGGTGCACAAACAGCTAGGAAGCTAAAACAATTTAGTTTGAATAATATGTCCACACTCCACATCGAACATGTGTTGAACACAGTAAAATTCTGATACTTGTTAAAGACTTTTAGACAATAACTTTACGTGTCCAGATCGGACCCCTCCCTGACTACTAAATACCATGCTTGATCTAATGCCAGGCTCTTGGGACTTCAAAAACACCAAAGGATTTCCAGTTTTTAACTCATCAGAGTATCAATTTTGAGATTTGGTTATCTATATACCAAACTAGCAGATCCATGCCCAGGTTTCTCACAAGCGTCAGATCTGTTATAATTCTTTTTATTTTATTGCATACAGAACATATAACTAATTTCCAATTGATCTTATTCTTGATGCTATTTCGGAACTTAAAAAGCTTTGGCCAAATATTTGGAATGGACGGATTTGGAATGCATCTCTTTGCTAATTATTCCACATAATTAATAGTAGACCAAAAAATAAAGATTTTTACCCCTAAACTGAGACACTCACCCTCATTGCCTCTTCCCTTAGCCYCATCCTCATATATCTTTCCGATAGGAAGATGCTAGTAAGAAAACTATTTTATTGGCACTTATCCTCTTAGATATGTTTTTAACCTTGCCAGTATAAYCTATCGCTTCTATGATTTCTTTCATGGGTTCTCTCCTTTAAATTTTATTTTCATAGGAGACATGGAAGCAGTTAACTTGTCCTCTCTTTTATCTATCCTCCAATAGTTTCAAACTAATTTTTTTTTTTTTCTGAAATCCGTGTGTCCGAACCAGCTTGTGCGCACCTCGACTAATCGCGGGCCAACCGCCTGACCCTACTACATTTGATTGACGAGTTTTGATTGATAAGGTAACTCGTAGGATATTAAATCCTAGGTAGGTGGCCATCATGGTTTGAACTCATTCTCTCTAAGTCTTTTGCTATTTACATTGGCCCTCACTGACAACTTGAACCATCTCATGATGGTTTAGTTTCAAATTAAATTAATCTTGGGTACGGGGAACATCAGATATGATGTTTTCTTGTAAATCCCCTTTCTTCCAAATGTTCTCTTCCTCATTTTGATCATCTGTCCAAGGTTGAAATAAGGATGAAAATCAAGTTCTTCCCTTAGCTTGTTGCCGGGGGGGGGGGRGGGGGGGGGTGTTACCGCCTTCGACTTTGTCCAGAGTTCTTCCACTTTGGTTCTTTTTTCTCATGCGTCCTCTGAAAATGTCAGGATTAGAATATATAGTCTAACTTTATCCTTACACCACGAAGATCTAGTTCAAGTTCCTGCAATTGTTTAGGGTACAGTGTTGGCACCTGGCCATGATTGCCAATCTCTGTTACAGGAGATATGAATACATGGTTGGAGAGAAACAAAAGGTATTTCAGGGTAGGGAGAGGTCATCAAAGGAGGTTTCGTGTGGGAATCATTTGAATGCTTTTTTGGAAAAGTAGAAGATTGTGTTAGTAGCATATTCTTCCCTTGCTCTTAGAATATCTGGTTAAAAAGAGAAGCATAAGGGTTTTCAAAGATAGGGCAAAGACTTGGAACTATATCAAGAAGACTCAGTAAGGAAAAATGATATAATAATCCATAAAGAGGGGCTACTTTTTTACTAAAATTCTCCAAATTCGAGAAAAATGCAAATTAAGTTATGATCATCCCCAGCACTTCGCACACTTCGGAAATAAGACTAGCCCAAGTCATTACTAGACAAGCTCGATGAGAATGAATGGAGCAACTGATACTCTTCAATGTGCTTAAAGAGAATAAACGGAAAATTAAACTGAGCTTACCTCCTGGAGATTAAAATAATGTGCAATGATCAATTTCTGCATATCTAACTTCTTCCTACTTAAGTATACTGGGAATATTGACGAATGACATAACAGAGTACCCTTCATCCAAAACCAAATTAGTATCCGCTTACCTGAAGAACTTTTAGAAGTTCCTTCCAGATCTTGCCTAAGGAAAACCTTGTTCTTCCAACCCAAGCAAGAACTGCAARACACAGGATTGCACAATGTACAAGTAATATGATTAACAATTGAACACCTGCATTCGTTTCATTTAAAAACCTTGGCATTCTCTTCAAACGGTAAATAATAATAATAAAACATGGACAGATCTAAAATGAAAATAATGGTTTCAAAATGCTAGAAAACTAGAAATATTATAATATTTGTGTGCATATCAAAAAACCAGACGTACTCAACACTAAAAAAGCCACCTAGATTCGTTACCTTTATTTAACATGATGGATGAGCAATATCTTAAGATATCCAGAGGTCACAGTTGTTCTCCTCAACCTGCTTGTTTTGGTATTGCAGTGAGATATGCAGATCAGGATCGTCAAAAAAGAATCCTTGACAAGAAAAGGCTTAATTTCCTTTTTTTCCACAGATATCAAAGCGAATAAGCAAATGGTGAGAGCCAATCAATTGCTCACATCAACTCTTTGGGAAGGCACTCATACGTCTTTCTTTAAAAATATAAAATAAAAATAAAGATAAAACAAGAAGAATGGACATAAATATTATATACTTAACTCCAGTTCAAAACTTCCAAATAGAGGCATTACTAATTTTATTTTCTCAAAAGGAAAAGTGGCCAGCATGTTAGGCAGTTTAAGATTGAAGGTGGGGTTTCTTAGTGATGGCCTTTTTTTTCTCTACTTTGCCTTTATTCTTTATTTTGCCTTTTCACATGGCCAAGATGGGCTCACATTGGTTGTTTGTACTACAATTAGGTTAGTCTAATAAATGAAATTGCGACAGTATGAGACATACTTGACCAAGTTTTACAAACTGTTGGAGCAGCCAGCAGCATCAGCAATCAGACAGAACTGCAGCTCAATGGCTATAGTAGTACTGTTGCACCAGCTTGACTGAGTCAAATATCTCTCTAACTGTACATAACTTCCGTCAATGATTGAACCCTGAAATATCAGGGAGAGAAGAAAAATAAATAAAAGAAAAGAAAAATTGTTAGCATCAGAAGAATTTTGGTGTTATTTGTGACATAATATAGTATCAAATGAGATTGGGATGAAGAGAGAGAGCCAAATCAGAGGTTACTTTTGAATAGAGGTACACTTTACAATATGGAAAATGAATATGAATGAGAGGCTTTATATTCAACACTGCTTCGGAGCACTTGAATCAAATAAGAATAATCAACAAGAATGTGGCAACTGGAGCAAACAAACTGAAGAAATGAAATCCCTACGGCCTCTCGAAGTAAATATCATCAGCCCTAAACAACAATCAGAAAACAAAAGAAAAAAAAAAAGACGACGAAATAACTTTACATTTACGTCACCAATTCGACGTGGCATTTCTTATACATTAAACTGGATTCGGTTGAAACCAAGTGACTATCAGGCCCAAGAACATGAGGTCTTTTTTGTTAAATATGTGGTAGCGAGATCTGTCGTAGGAGCTGGGAAGGATGAACAAACAAGGACAGTCTTCATCGGAGTCACATTATACTGCAGTTGCATTTGGATTCCAGCTTTAGAGGTTTCATGCTGTCCACTTGGTTAGGAAGACCTACATTTCGAATGGTGGACTCGTCGGTGTTCTCGTCATTCTCTGTCTTCGTAACAGGAGGCTTTGTACTCATTTCCACATGCCGTTGTCTCAGTTTTTGAGATTTCATGACCCGTTTGCCGCCTGTTCTACTGCGTAGATCGCTTCTGTCAGTGTTAGATTTTCCCAAAATGGTAACCGTCGGCCGTGAGCCTTCCAATGTAACCTCGTTTTCCTTTTCAATTGCTATGGAAGCAGCTGAATAGGCTATATCATGAACAATAGAGCTGCAGAAAAGAATTGTATCTGTTGCCTCTTCAAGTGTCAAGCTTCTCACCACCTTTCTTCTGCCCTGGTAATCGACAATTACTGTTGATTCTTCTGCCAAACAGAAAGTTTTATCAGGGATCGGAGACAACGTGAAAATTCATCAAAATAAGTTTAAAGTAATTTTAGAAGAGGACATGATTAAAACCCAGGATTAGTCAAATAATCTCAAGATCACAGTATTAAAGAAATTTAGGAACTTAAAAGAGATGCAAGGAGAGATTTTAAACAAAAGCTGAAAAGCATATAAATCGCAACCAAAGAAACTTCCATACCTAGGATACCATAAGATTTTTCAGTATTAATAACAGGTGGTGTTAAATCCTCGTCAGGCCCACTAGGAACCATAGATTCCTCCTCCAGGAGACTTTTTGATATTATTGATAAATCACTCTGTGAACCAGGTGCTATCACCTCAGCTATTTGTTTCGTTTCTTTTTCTGATATTGTGGTCATTAAATGATTGGGATGTTGTTCATCTTCAAACGCACTAACATCCGGCATGTTGTGTCCCTCCAATTTGGAACAGTCGGAAGTTGTAACTGGTGCTTCTTTATCTGAGACACTCCTACCACCTGATAAGTCCTCCCTGTTCACATGTTAAGTATAATAAACCATTTTGGATTGAATGTCCCAAAAAAAAAAATCAAAATTGTTGCTGAGGGCATACCTTGACGATTCCGAGGTACAAGTGTCCAGTATTCTACGGTTGTCGCATTCAAATTTATCCTCCTCTACAACAGCAACCACAATTGAAGAGGTGTCATCTGATTCAGCATTTTCAGAAGCTAGTTCAGGTTTCTGAGAAGAATTAGTAGTTCCCTGACTGGAAAAACATTCTAAATTGGCCACAGTAAAATCCAAATTTTCCTCTTGCTCACAAGTTTCAAAGCCTAATACAGGATGAGCATTGGTAGGTGTTCCAGAAGAAGCTGCCTCAGAGATATGAGATTTCACGCAAATTTCACCCTTTTTGCTCTCTAATTCCCCTTTCCTTGAACTTACCTGACGTTGTATTCGGGCTTCAATCTGTCTGGCTGAGCTGAAATCAGCCGATGATGATGCAGAAAAACTGCTGTGTCCAACAGAACTTCTCAAACTGCTCATGCTATCTCTTGCAAAAGACAGATCATCATAAGATATGGTACTTGTAGTAAAAGTTCTTCCTTGGACAATAGGGCCCTTACTGCTGCTCGATCTCTTTAACAATATAGAAATACCTGCACCTTCTGATGAATCAAACCTCAAATCTTTATAGTCGTTATGATGAAGAGGTTGCTGATATCCAGATTCAGTGTTGGACTGACTGCCACTAACAACTAATTGGCCTATCTCTGAATGGTTGATAAGGCTATGCTGACTTTCGCTCACCGGTGTTTCTGAGGGGAAGTTTTCTTTCTGGTAACTCAAGCCTTCTTCAGGATAAGATGCTTGATCTTGCTCAACATTGCCCAGAGACTCGGAAATCCTAGATTCACCCAAATCAGTAGCTAGGGAAGATTCAAGCGAAATCACCCCTGACTCCACCTTATTGAAAGGCTTACCTGCTTCATACTTTATTGAATACCCTGATATGCTTTCAGTAACTRAAGTCATATTTTCCAAAAGGGTCATGCCAAGGTATTTTTCTTTCCTACTGCATTCTGGACAAAGATTAATGTWATTTTCCTCTGTGTCAATGACACAATACCTACAACCACATCTGGGACACAAAATTATATCATCAAGGCAAACAACCTCTGAAAAAGCATTCCCCTGGGCACGAGAAGAGTCAAAAGTGGAACTTATTTCTGGGATAATAGTTTGGTGACTGCTATCTTCAGTGAGAACAGGATCACAACCAGGTGCAGGGCCACTATCAAGTGACTTGATATCATTAATGGGATTTTCATTAACAATATCCATCTTATCGAAAGCGAATATCTCTTCATGAATGTCATGATATGGCACTTTCTCACATTCATTTGCCATATCATCCTGATTTAGGTCACTCACTTCTGTATCAAGTACAATACTTGCACCATTATAAGAACTTGCATTACTGCTAGTTGTGACTGAGGAGTTCCTGGAAATCAGAGAACGATGGGCAGAACTCACCTTGCCAGTATAAAAGGTGGTACTGGGGACACTTGATAAAAGTGGCCTAAACATATTCGGGCTCTTTCGATCCTGGAGAAAAATAAGGAAGTGCATATGCACCATTAGTTGTCATGTAAACTCCAGTGAAACTATAAAAGCACACCATGACTGACACAAGTAAAGAAGAAATGTGATTATCTAAGATGAGTCAGACTCACAAAGTACATTGAAATGGAAATATTTTTTTCTGCCAAATTCCACATCATTAAACTGTTTACTAACATGAACTTACTCGGGAGAATAACAAGATCAACAAACAATCAATTGTACTTTGCAGAAAACTTACGCACTAAGTCACTAAAAGAGTTGAAAATCTTTTTTCCAGTTTCTCAAATTGTTCATAAAATAACCATGTTAAATTTTAAATACTAACATTCAAACAGTCCCAATAAAAGTATGTCACGTGAATGTAACAACTAATCTGAGAAAAAAAAACAAACTTTACAGTTTGTTTATGTTAACCAAAATGTGAGTTCCAAAGTACAAAATATCATATCATTCAAAAACTAAAAAATAAAATCCATACCAATTGTCGAATAGTGGAATCGAGGGATCTTTTGGGAGTGGAAGTAGAAGACACTATTCTGTGTTTCTTTGATATGGTCAGAGCTTTGTTATTTGAAAATGTATTCCCTCCTTTTGACAATGAATTATCCAAACTGCTAGTAGGAATTGACTGCAGGGAGTCTAAATCATCATCACCAGATGAGGCCTTCGAACCTCTACTGTAAGAGCTATAGCGATCTCGATCGTGACTATGGGATGAGCTGATAGGAGCAGTTGGAGACATCRATTGCCTACTGTACTTGTATTGAAGGTCCATACTGTTTCGAGAAGCTGGTGAAGATCCTCTCGTATATGATGCTGGCCGATCAGCCAGGGATGTTCGAAGGTTAGGGGGAGCATCAGAAGAGAAACCAGGAATATTAGTTTGCCATGCTCTTATTTTAGGTGAAGCAGAATTTCCTCTTACTGCCTTTATAGGTGAAGTTCCCCTTGCCCCAGATGTGGTAGAAGTTCCACTCGACCCTGTGCTCAACCTCCTGGGAGTTGGGGTGGAAGACCTTGTCACAGATATTGATGGTGTACTTGGAGGAGGTGATGATCTTCTTGCAGGGGTAGTTGATCTTCTAGATGGTGTGGCATGTCGTAGACTTGGAGTTGGGCTAGAGTGCGGGGCTGACAGTTGCCTTCCCCGCATTTGAGGCACACTGCTTGCTGACCTAGGCGATGGGCTTAAACGATTAGGACTTGCACTACCCCTACTCGTACTGCTTCTGTGACTTTTTTCCATCTATGAAAACAAAACTCTTCAGTGTTTCAACAAAGAAGTACAGAACATCAAATAGCTCAATTGTAAAAAGACACTTTTAGAGACTTATCCAACATGATCGCAACACAATTATATTCTATATAAACAGTTTAATCACATACCGTGGATGATCGTGATATGGAAATGGGTTGACTACGAGGTCTCCCCCTGCTTGCAAGAGTAACTGGAGGCGGATCATTGTCCAATGAAGGGAAAAGAGGGGTGTCGGGAGGTGTTAACAACCTTGAGATGGATAATACAGAACATTTTGTGAGAGCCAAGAGCAAGGGGATTGATTATTCAGCTTCAAACAACCATATGATAAACAAGTACCGGCACAGTAGTCCACCAAAAATTATCACAAGCCACTTCGGCAGAAAGTAAATAGGTAGCGGCCACAAGTATGAATTAGCAAGAAGTTATACGGACCAAACACACACATACATATACACACACTCCTAATAATTATAAGCAATTGGTGATTTAAGAGTAAGTCACTTGGAACAGGAATAAGGCCACTCACCAGTCATAGTCATTTTTCTCCCCATCTACATTAAGCAATTCACTATTCTCTCCACGAACAGGAATGGAGATACCAAGCTTGATATCGGAAAAGTGCCTCAACTTTGTAGCTGCAGAAAACTATCAAAAAGTTCATGAGAAGTGCAACATTGACAGCCTAATTAAATGGTCGTGTTTTTATATTTGGCAGCAAAAAAAAATATAAATGATAAAATTGAGTTAGCTCGTAATTACAAAATGAGTCCTCCAAGTCCTCTGCCGACTGAAGCAGGAAACTCTCTCTTTCTCGAGTCTGCATTTCATTGAATAAAGCAAGATCGTCATCTTTCTCTCTTATGCACATGCCACTCTCAAAGCTGTGGCCTCGCTTATGATTGCTGCCTSTGAGCTCTCTACCAGGAGAGCTCCTCAATGCTGGAGAAGGAGGCATTATCATCCCCCCAACAACAGCCTAACTGAATTACTTCAACTGATCCGCATGGCCCAGAGGAACAAAAATCAAGTGCCTAAATCAGCAACATATGCTAACTCCTGTAGAACCAAGGAAAACACGTATCTTGTCAGTCGATTATCTGTTCCAACCAAAACGAGCTACAAAGACCCATCATTTAGTTAGAATACACAATTACATAATTCTGCCTAGACCGACCAAGTCAACCTAAGACCAATTCTTCCGAACGAGTGTTCTAAGCATACATTAAAAAATACTTGGGGAAAAAAATAAAACAATCGAGCATCGAAATTCAAAGCCCGTCCAATTGATATGCCAATAAATTGAGATCCTTGCCATGTAATGCAACCTTTAAACCCTAGTCTCAATAAAAGATTTCAGCATTAATGGCAGCATGGAATAAATCATAAACTACTCAAAATCCACCCTAATCAGCTAACAAATGGTAATTGAAGTTCAGATTAACAGTAAGAATTCATCATCTAAAAGAGGGAAGTGAACGACTTACTGAATTTCTCAAGTCAAGAAGCTACATGAAGATAGTGAAGTAGGTAGCTGGCAGAGTTTAAGATCTCAAATTCAGCCATGGGGAGCTGAAAAGGCAATGGAAACGTACAGAYTGTTCAGTTGACACCCGAATCTACMGCATTCAAGGCGATGCAGATCAAAGAAACCAGAGATCGCTCATGAATCAACGAGACCTAAAACAATTTGCCGGCATTCTATGAGAGGGGAACAAAATGACTGGGGAGAGTGAAAATTGGCGAGTAACTAAGCTCTGTAATCTCGTGGATGGTATACAGAGACCTATTGTTAACTTTCATASAGATGCTGAAGAACGTAAAAACCCTCAAACAAAAATAAAATGTGAAGGATCTCTACAACCCAAAAGTGGTTGGGTCGTACGATCCCATAATTTTCCAGTCCGAACCCCTATCTGACAGGTAAAACTAAAATAACAAAATCAAAAGCGCTCAAAACAACAAATTATTGTCTAAATTTCATAACAAGTTCGAAACATCCGAATTCATAACGCTGAACTAAATAAGAAAAACAACTCAAAAATGAAATGTGAAATAAAAATAACGACAGATAGGTAATGAGAAAACAGAAATCAAACTGAATAAATATATATTTCTTACCATGGTATGAAATGCTTCAGATGAGCTGAACCCAGTGACGTGCCGGCGATTAAAGGTGATTTGCAGAAACGAATTTAGATGAATAAGGGAGTGAGAAGGCACGGAGGATGAAGACTACGGTTGCGATTTATTGATCACGATGGTGTTTGATGAAGTCAGCCATCAAGCGGTTGAGATTGAGCTGTGCTCCGTGGTGATTAAGAGATACACGTGAAAAGATTTATTAGCCTTAATCCTAATTCCAACAAAGGAGGAAAAAAAGACAGAGCAGATCCGAAAATTACCGGAAATTAGAGAGAACGAACGATGAACTCAGTGGAGTTCTASTTCAGTTCAGATCAGCGAAACGATATCTTTGCGTAATTTTAATTTGTTCCGAATTTTGTAGAAATACCTAGCTGCAGCCTACAGTCGGACCTTGAAGAACCCCAGTAAAGAAACAAAAATTTAAAACATACGTACAACTGGTTTTGCAAAGGGAAAATAATTTTTCTTTTTTTTTTAAAGTACATGTTAAGAGGGAGGTATACGTCAATTTCTCGAACAAAACAAAAAACAAAATAGAAAAATTACATTGCATAAAAATATCATAACTTTCTATTTTTATAAAATAAAAATCAGGGAAGTGACTTTTAATTCTTTTTTTAATACAACACCACGGGATGACGAGACTTCAAACTCACCTTTAGTTGAAGTTTCTTTTAGTATAACATGTTAGAGAATGACTCCCAACATCTTGATTTGAGGTATACGTCAATTACCGTTGTGCTATGTTCGCTTTAACTATATTTTAGTTTGAGTTACATGCCTTRATCAGTTGAGATTTATTTTCGATATCAAATACTAAATAACCTATTAACAAGATAAAGTCTCTATGACTTATTATAACCGAAACAAAGTCAACTGTAATTCAATTGGAAGAGGGGAATATAAGGTGATCCAACAAATCTTAACAATCTTAGYAAACTTGGCGTACATTTTTCATTCTTTGATTCATGAGAATTGGTGGGGTTTTCTTTATTTTTGTTTTCCGTTCTATCAAGGCATTTCGAGAAATAAGACAGGAATATAGCTTGCTTACTTATCGCTTGCTCAAGTAGTTGGTCTCATGTAAAAATTTACAATTCATGTCACTTTTGTAAAATTTTAAACATCATGCAATGTATATAAATACATATTGTTGTTGTGTTGTTTTTGTAATTATCTAAAAAAAAAAAATTATATCTACATAAATAAGAATATAATACACGGTTAGATAAATATCATTGTCTTTTCTTTTCCAATTTTTAATATATATTGACTCCTAAAATTTTGTATGACAGTAAACTTTTAATTTTTCAAATATGTCAAATGTCTTATTAGACATGTAATTCATGTATTTCCTTGAGGTCGGAAGTTCACRCTCACGTCCATTTTTTTAATTTTTTTTAATACCCAATTTGTATGAGTTGAGATTCGAACTCATAATCTATTGYCCTCCATTATTATTGCAAATTATTTAGTCAATAATATAATAAATTTTGTGGTACAGGAGGCACTAAAATTTAGCCGGGCTTAAATTCAAAGTAGTTCCCAACAATTTAATTTTAACTATCTTGGCTCAACTTCACATTTTCTATTCAAATCGGTCGTCACTTAAACTTCAATGCAGTGACTTTAAATTATGGTGTGATATAGTTTATAGAGATGTCAAAGGAAGCCTAGTAGCAACAATGGCATAAAACATAGGGGCAAAACAAAGCTCATTTTGTTTATAATTTTCGGCAATTCAAAAAGGCCCTGTCTTTGGCTGTGGAGCTGGGTCATCAAATAGTTTGGAATGAAATTGGATATCAAATATGAAAAAGGTTGTATTGAAAATCAATCCATCGCTTCTACGCRGGTAAAAGTGTATGGGAATAAGATTTAGGATCATTTAGCTTATGGTCATCAGAACCGGTTGAGAGGAAAATAAATGGCTTGTTCGGCAACGTTYTTGTTTCTTGTTTATATTTATTTACCTTTCGTGAACAAAAATGTTTTGTATGGTTCTAACCTAAATTGAAAATGAGAAACTAATTTTGGTTGTTTCCAAAATTTGTGAGACTGTTTTCAAAAAAGGAGAAATAAGAAATAAAATTAGTTGAAAAATATTTAGATCTTTTAACAAAATTGGAAACGAGAAACAATAAACGAGAATGTTACAAAATGATTCCAAAATAACCTTATTTCTAGCCTCCGTGGCCTACATTAGAAGGTGACCTATTATAATAGAGCCAAAGTTTGTTGATTATTTTATTTTTTATTTTTGTTAGGGATGTCAAAATGAAAAGTCTTAAAAGAAAACAAAATTATTTTTTCAGTTTTCCCCTGAAAATATTTTAAAGTTAAAGATGGTTTGTAATAGAAGGACTTTTTATTGAGCTTGCAAAAGATGTACGAGATGAACCCAACATATATTCTCACACGCATCACCATCCGTCCGTCCGATCAGACGGGTGGATTGAGATAGCGCGAAAAATAGAAAATAGTTTTGCTTACAATTTTGTAATTTCTCGAACTGATTCCAATCTGATTTTTCCAAGCTTGAATTTGGATGTTGTGTTAATCTTATGAAGCAACGACAACAGAAAAAAATTAGCATCAAAATCGTGTCGAATTTGCTTTCAAAATAGTGGGTTCCACTGCACAACAAACATTTCTATTTTTCTTGTTCTTCTTCTGATTGCTCATATATTTTTAGTTTCACACTGATTCACACCGTCAATAAAGTCATTTTTTTTCATCTCAAATAAAGATGCTTTCATTTTTTATTTTTATTATCTACAACATGTAGATGTGAGGATTCAAATTTAGATCAAGTCATGAACTCGGTGGAAAAATGTTTCTTTCCTTTCCTTCACATTTTTACCCACCGTGGAAGAAAAAAGGATTTCACCCTATTCCTCGCAACCCATTACTACCAATTTTATAATTTTATTATTTATTAGAGAGATGATTTATATATGTTTATTTTAAATAGAGTTATTAGAAATTTAGAAAATAAAATATATTTTGATTAAATTACATAATTTTATAAAAAACACATTAGAATAAGAATAAAACAGAGAAGCAAAGTCATAAGAGCGCGTAAGGATTTCGCTGAATACTATCGTGAAAGAGTAGCGGTAGCAGAAACTTAAATCTGCAATTTCGTGCCGCCATTGCGATTTTTCAAGTTCATACCAAGTCGAGGAGTGTAGTGGAGTAGACTCATCAATGGCGCAGCTTCCAATCCTCCAATTTGAGGAGAAAATCATCGAAACAGTGGAGCAGAATCCAGTAGTAGTCGTAATTGGAGAAACAGGCTCTGGGAAGAGCACTCAGCTCTCTCAAATGCTCCACCGGAGAGGATATACAAAGTCCGGTATAATCGGCGTCACTCAGCCTCGCCGAGTTGCCGCTGTTTCTGTTGCTAGGTACAATCTTAAATATGTTTGGAAATCTCGAATAAAAGTGATCACCCGATTAATTCGTTCACTATCTAAACTGGCAGACGAGTTGCAGAGGAGCTCGGCGTGCATCTTGGCGAGGAAGTTGGATATGCCATTCGTTTCGAGGACAGAACTTCAGAAAGGACTCGAATAAAGTATCCGAAACATACTTTTACACACTGAAGTTAGTGAAGTAGTCTGTTGTTTGATTCCAAGTTTGCCTGCAACTGACTGTACGATTGTAAACTGCCAGATACCTCACTGATGGAGTCCTCCTTCGCGAAAATCTTTCTGATCCCGAGCTTGGTCAATATTCAGTTATCATATTGGACGAGGCTCACGAGAGAAGCCTAAATACGTGAGTTGTCTCGTGACATCAGTGTCCAGTCCCGTCTTCTACCTCGTTATCTGGCATTTCCCTCTTCTGGGTCCAATTATTTGTTCCCATATATTTTTTTTAGCTGCTGCCACTTGCTCATTTTTTCCCGTTTAAAGTTAAACAATGGCAACATTTTGTTCATAATTTTTCAGAGACATATTGATGGGGCTCGTGAAACGATTAATCAGACTGCGTATCTCCAATTTGAAGGTTCTTATCACTTCAGCAACTCTAGATGGGGACAAAGTATCCAAGTTCTTTTCAAATTGCCCTGTGCTAACAGTGCCTGGAAAGTTGTATCCCGTTGAGATTTTGTATGGCAATGAACGTCCAAAGAGCTACCTTGAATCATGTTTAAAAACAGCTATTGGTATGATTAGAACGTTCATCTACTTATAGCATGGTTTAAATCTTACCCGTTGTAGAGTGTCCCCCCCACCCCCAAGTATAATAGAAAGTCTGTAGGCCTAAAATTCTCCTATCATCGATCCATTCTATCCACTTTTAGATAAAATTCCCATATTATTGATCCTTTCTATCCCCATTTAGACTTTCCCAATCTAACTACTGACAAGGTTGCATTAACTATTTGCTAGATATACATACCCAAGAACCAGAGGGGGATGTTCTCATTTTCATGACTGGACAGGTAACTTTTCATTTTAGTTAGTTCTACACTTGAATCTCTGTCTGACATTATTTTTTTATTAAAACAATTCAATCTTGAAGGATGACATAGAGAAGTTAGTATCAAAGTTGGAGGAAAAAGTTTACAATTTAGAAGAAGGATCTTGCATGGATGCTATAATTCTCCCCCTTCATGGTTCATTGCCACCAGAACTGCAGGCAAGTAACTATTTTGTTTCACTTGGAAAATTGGTTGAGATTTGAGAGAAGGTTAAATTCTCTATTTACTATTGGTCTAAAAATATAAAGTAGTAGGGACTAATTTTGGACTCGTTCCTAAAACCTGTCTTCTGTTTTGTTTTTTTAGTAAAATTTCTGTATAAACATGTTTGTTGAGTTTTTTTTTTAAATTATTATTGAATTGTTTTTATCTTAGTTTATTCTTACATGTTTGTTTCAAATATCATAGACTCATAAATATTGATTTCAAGTTCATTTAATATTTACAAGCTACCGATTCAACATCCTTCAAAAAATTCTTAAATAAATAAAAAAATTTTTTTGGACAAATACTCCCAAACTTGACCAAATTTCAGTATTTATTTTTGAGCAGTTATATGTAATTGTATGTTTCATGGAGGATTTCTTTTTGTTCATCATTCTCACGGAATAGTATTGTATCATCTACGAATTGGAGATGAAAAACATGAATTTTCTTAGTGCCGACTCTATACTCCAACAAACCTTCCTCTACTTTGCCCGGTTCTAGGGGTTCCCCTCTTATTTTTTGTCGATCGAGTTGCTTTCCCCGTACATCTTACACAACACAAAGAGAGAGGAATTCCCTGGGTGCCTTTATCCTACCTCTTGGCTTGTTAAGGAATACATAAATTTTGGTATATGAGTTATAGCTCTAGAACGATTTCACCTATCTACTACCACATCCTTTTCTTCCAAGTATTGTCGACAAAATCTCCCAATTCTTTCTTACAGGAAAAAAAAAAAGGAAAAAAAAGACAACTCCCAATTAACCTTGTTATATGCATTTTCCCAATCTATTTCAAATATCCACTCTTTCCTTTTTTACCTCTTTCTCTCCTCAACAACCTCATTTGCAATGATAATTAAGTCAATAGTTTGTCTTCCCCTAAGGAACGTCGATTAGTTTACTAAAACTGAAACTAAGTCCATTGTCCTCCAAATCCCTATTCAATGAGTTGTTTCAGCTAAGGCAGTGATTCCTGGGTGTTTCATCCTTAAAACTTAGGTTATTCTTGTGGAATGTTTTTGTAGGTGGCCTTAATATATAGGACGGGATTCAACTAGACTATCCTAAATTTTGTCTGCCTCCTGGTTTGTGTTCTTCTTGTGGACTCTTTTCTTAGGAGAGCCCTTTTTTGTATGTCTAGGATAGGTTTTTGATCTGGCTTCTTTTGTGTTATTCTTTTTGGGTCCTGCTTACATTCGTTCATGTTTTCTTTGGAAGTTTGATTGTGCGTTTAAAAAACAAGAAAGAAACTTTCTCATGGTGATCTTTCTCTTCATGTATTTGACATATAAATTTGAGGACCTTTGGTTTGTCTTCCATTGCTTCTATGGGTCTAATTTTCTTTATCAATGTTTTATGTGGATGCCCTTCAAGAAGCAAACACGCATTTAGGGCGTTTCTTTTTGGTTAGAAAGGGACAAGAAAATTTTCCAAGGGGAGCAAAAATTTTTCAATGAGTTGTAAGATGATATTGTTTTTATCTCTTCCTTTTGGAGCTCCTTACATTATTCTTTTTGTTGATACTGTCTTTCTGCTGTTTATGCCATTTAGCGAACCTTTGGCTTTTGAGGGAGTTGCTATCATGTATATATTCCACTTCTTCGATGAAATGTTCAATGTTTCTTATTTAAAAAATAGAGAAGAATAAGAAGAAAGGATGTAGATGTAGGGGCCATTAAGTTTTCATGGGACTGTGTTTGATGCATCATCTTTATTTTTCAGGTGCGTGTATTCAGTCGTCCACCTCCAAATTGTAGGAGATTTATTGTAGCAACAAATATTGCTGAAACTTCTTTGACTGTTGATGGTGTTGTGTAAGTAAATTTGTAAAGTCTCTTCTTTGGGAGCTTTTTCATTCAGTTTGAACAGCATCAAAATGATATGTACGTATCAATCATAGGTATGTCATTGATTCTGGTTATGTCAAGCAACGGCAATACAATCCATCAACTGGCATGTACTCCCTTGATGTTGTACAAATTAGCAAGTAAGTACTCTACTTGACTGACCATTAAGTTCTCTCGTTGAAATATTTTAGAGTTAGCTCTTGATAGTTGTCAATTTTTATTTTATTTTTATTTTGTCTTTCTTGTCTCTTTGTTGACCGTGTTTGATGCCAGAATTGGATAAATAAGGTGGATGCAATGCAAAAGTTAAGAGAAATTTCGTGCACTACTTGTGTCTAAGATCTGTACTCTTAGCAAACCTAGCCCATAGTTCGAAAAATATGAACTTTATACCCCCAACCTCGTCCTCCCAAAACATATAATCACCCTGGAATTCTCCTTTTAAGTTCTTTCTCGTTGATTCGTTTGTATGTTTTGGGACTGGTGGCAAAGTTTGGTGCCTCTATGGTATTTGGTAATTGGTAGTCTACTCGGTCAATTGCTAATTCCTTGAAAGGCCTCTAGAAAGTCACTTGTAATTGCAAGTAGGTCTTTCAATCAAGCATCAGGATCACGGTGGGAAATGATGAACCAAATTATGAATCCCTCCCTACTGCTTTCCCACCTATGGATCCAATATCTAATAGCGAAGGTCTAAAGATCAGCCAAGTTATCAGGGCCCTTATAAGTCTTCCTTAATTAAACTACCTGAGAAACCTTAATGACTTTGAAATCCAAGATTGGATCTCTCTTATGGCCTCTCTTGGGGTTAATGCCAGTGGAAAACAAATGGAGATGGATGCGATACCTCTAGTTCCTTAAGATGCATATCTCTTTTAGAAGACATCAAGGACACTCAATTATGAGAATCTTTGCAAATGGGAGTGGAAGGACAAACATCATAAACCTTTGCATTTCTAAAGACTTCTGAATTATGTGCGAAGCGGAAACTTGATATTATTTATTTTTTAGCTGCCCCGTGGCCCTTAACTTCTGAAATTTCCTTCTGGGTGATTTTGGTTGTTCTGGTCCTTCTCTCAACATCAATCCAATCTTGCTGGACTCTTTCTTAGGAGGACGACATCCTTTCATGGATGGAGCTAAGTTCCTTTGGTTAGACCTTATTAGAGGTTTCTTTTAAATATTTTTGGAATGAAATAACCAAAATAGCTTGTCCACATGAGGAAAACTCCATCTCTCCATCTCTCTGTATCTTTTTCTTCTTTTCAATTTTTCAGTAGTAACATGTTTTCACTGCTGCCACTTGGTACCATGATCATGTAGTGGTTTCATCATCTTTGCATCTTTACGTCTTTTGCATAGAGTGCAAGCAAATCAACGTGCTGGGCGAGCTGGAAGAACGCTCCCTGGGAAGTGCTATAGGTTGTACACTTCCATGGATTATCAAGAGGAATTCTTGGATGTAACAGTTCCTGAAATACAACGCTCTTCTCTTGCTGGCAGCGTTCTTTATTTGAAATCATTGGACCTTCCAGATATCGATATTCTCAGATTTGATTTTCTTGATCCCCCCACCTGTAAGTATTGATATTAACTTATTAAGTGCTACGATATTTCGGTTGCATCTGAATATGACGATTGAATCTAACTGGATTTGGCAGCTGAGTCTTTAGAAGATGCACTGAAGCAGCTATATCTTATTGACGCTATTGATGAAAATGGATCTATTACTAGTATTGGGCGAACCATGGCTGGTACTAAGTTCTCATCTTATAACTGAGTCATGCTACTGATCACTGCCACTATCTAATTACTTTATTTTATGCATGTGAAGGTCATAAATGGTATATTGTTATTCATGATCACGATTGCAGAATTTGCAGCAGACCCACAATTCTGTAACTTGGGTGTGGGTGTTTTGTCAAAATGGAATGGCATTAGTGTTCATATTCTTCTTCTTTTTTTTCTTTTTCTTTTCCAATGCAGAATTTGCAGCAGACCCACAATTCTGTAACTTGGGTGTGGGTGTTTTGTCAAAATGGAATGGCATTAGTGTTCATATTCTTCTTCTTTTTTTTCTTTTTTTTTCCAATGTTGAATTAATTCCATGCAACGATTTATGTTAGCTTCTAGTGAACTAGTTCTTTGTGTTTGGTAACTGGTAGATGTTACTCGATAAAAAAATAATAGATGTTACTGCAATTATTCTCTTTCTCGTTAACTATAATTGCCTATTTAAATGTTGGATAAACAATTAATCAGTTTTGGTGATATTTTTTATCATCTCGTGCAGAGCTTCCACTAGAACCTTCACTCTCACGAACCTTGATAGAGGCGAATGAGTATGGTTGTATATCCCAGGCTTTGACTGTTGCTGCAATGTTATCAGCAGAGACGACATTGCTTCCTAATCGCAGGTGCTAGCTCTATGAAGTCTAGTTTTAATAATATTCTTAGTACAAAATTCATTAGATTTCTCTGGCTGTAGAATTATTATCATAGTTTATAGCCAATGTCAATTGCTTTGAAGTCCCTTACTATCTATGACGTCAGTCATATCTTACTTCATTTTCATTTAGGAGCAAATGTGTATCCTACATATTTTTATTTTTTCCCCTACTTTTATCTTCTTATTATCCTGCAATTCGTAAAAAATCTAGTGGACTATTTTTATATAAATTAGTTTGTAGCATTACAAAATGATTATACAGCGGCAGCATTTATTTCACTGCCATTGCATTTAACTTGAAAAAATAACCATCATTGTATGGAACTACATATACCCATGTTACCATGACCTATCAGTTTCTGATTATACTATTTCCTATCATTCAAATATGAATAGTTTCACTGTTTACTATTATTTCATCGTTTTCAAGGGTCATTAGTTGAGAACCTCCCACATAAAAAAATGTGGTGAGACTATTATTATTATTTTTTTTCAATTTTATAGAAGTGATTTCTTAAAACCGACCTACATATTTTATACATTGAATGTATAGAGCCATTACATTGACCATGGAATGTGCGAGTTTACACTTTACTCATTCAGCCTCGTGTCAGATTATTATGATCATTGGCTACACAACATTTATGAAATGAACGTGTATGGTCATGGTCCTCTCAGTGATGGTATGCCTGTTTTTGACTGTAGAAAGAATACTGATAAGAAGAGGAAGCACAGTTCCTTGGACCTTCCTGATGGTTCAGGCTTGGGTGATCACATCCAATTGCTACAGATATTTGAGGTCTGGGATCAAAAGAAGTATGATGTTAGCTGGTGTAAAGACCACGATTTGCAGGCAAGTTTTAATATTCTGTTTTTGAAATCATATACATGCTAGGCGTTATTTGGAAGATAGACCATGGCAATCAAACTATATAGCTGGAGTTTTTTAGGAATATCTTCACTTTTCTCTGGTCATATATTTAGAACAGAATTCCTGAATTTTGTAGATAGAGATTCATTGGCACGCCTTTGAAAAGTGTGGTTAGAATGAAACAGTAGAAATTTTGATAGGATAAAAAAATAAATAATTAATGATGGGAAACTAACTGGTAGAGCTTTATGTTGCAGGTAAGAGGGATGTTGTTTGTCAAAGATGTACGAAAACAGCTCTGTCAAATAATGCAGAAAATAGCAAAAGGTTGGTTTCCCGTCTCATGTTTAAAAACTTAATGTGAAAATATTGATTTCTAGTTTCTTGTTTGCAAAAGACGTCACAAAGGATGCTAGAAATGCGCACCTCATAGTTCGAAGTTTGGTTTTCTAATCAAATAATGAATGCTACATCAAATACAGTGTAATGAGATGCTATTTGATGTTGAATCGTGATGCCTTATAGTTTCAAGTTTAATTCACTAACTAGATAGCGAAGCTTTTATCAAAATTAGTACGATGAATTGTTATGTCAAACTTTGACCTAGAAACTTCTCCCAATGATCTTTTTTTTAGTTCTTGGTTTCTTTTCTCTCATAGATATAATTGAGACAAATTCCTTCTCGTTTCTTAATTACTTTAGTTAACCACAGGATCATTAGACGTATGGACATCCAGAAACCAAAAGGAGAGTCAACAAGAGTACTGGAATTTGAGGAAGGCTTTATGTGTTGGTTATGCCAATCAACTTGCAGAGAGAATGATTCATCACAATGGCTATCGAACTCTTAATTTTAAGCCCCAAGTTGTTCAGGTACAATTGTGTGTATTTCTGTAATAGTGTATGTTGTCCTAACATCAGGCATTTTTTTGGCCTGACTATATATTCTTTATAGTGAACAGTAAACCAATTCCAGCTCTTTTGTTTAAAAATTATTTAACAGAAAGTCACTTCGGTTGTAGGTGCATCCATCGTCGGTTCTGAAGCCAGATGAAGAGGGGAAATTTGCTGACTATGTTGTGTACCATGAACTGATTACAACATCACGACCCTATATGCGCAATGTATGTGCAGTACAGGTTGATTGGGTTATGCCCACTTTAAACAAGGTTAAGAATTTAAACGTAAACAAATTAAGGTAAGCCAGCTTCACTTGATATCATCTTTTGTCGAGCGAGTGGCTTTTTTTCCAAATTGATGTTTGCTCACGAACCAGCTCAGTGAACTTCTTCCCTTGAAACAGTGGTAGCAGTGTTGATCTTACGAGTGAGACGGTGGAGGGCAATGTCATAAACTCTCCAACGAAAGAAGATGGTAGTGCTGCATCAACTCTTGATGGCCGTGAAAACAAAATTCAGGCTGCTAGAGAACGATTTCTTGCACGGAGAGGGAAAAAATGACACCGAGCCGTGTGATAAAACAGCAGGATTCATACATGCTAGTGAGTTAATTCTTTAAGATCGTGGAGCCTGGAAAACACGAGCAAATTGACCACACTTGTGGCTGCTTGTGCTTGTTGCTCACTTTTCGGGCCCACCGACCGACCCGGTTTTTCCATAGTTTCATCAAAGCTTGTGGAAGGCCCTGGTAAGTGCATCCTCTGGCGGATTGGGCTTGTTGTCTTCTTTTTTGTTCTTATGTTACCCTGCTCTGCAAAGTGTTTCGCGGTCAACAGACATAACTTTATCCAGTATCTAGTGCCCAATGGTTTGGCAGATTGGGAGAGAAGAGACAGACTTATTTCACGCCTAACAGTCTCACGAAGAGTTTTGCCTCTGCAACCTATGGCTACAAAATAGAATGGAAACAAGATTCGGCCGCGATACTGAGTATCATAAAAGCTATGCTTTCTTACTCTTCTCCAAATCTGTTAGTTTCCCTGCATCTTTACCCTCTGAAATTTTAAATCCGCAGCACGGCAAGTGGTCTTCATACAAAACTTGAAACCTTGCTTGAATAGAAAGGTAAAACTGTTTATGCTTCATTTTTAGTATCATAGTCATAGAAGTAGCTTTTTTTTTTCTTTTTTTTTTTGAATATCAGGTAAGAGCGGAGATTCGAATCTTTTGACCTTTTAGTCGAGGATATACCCTCAATCAATTGACCTATGCTCATGTTGGCTTATAAAAGTAGCGGTTTTGGCTTGGAGAATAGCATGTTGTATCACATTTGTGATTGGATTATGCTTTTCTAGCTAGGTGAAACTGTTCTAAGAAATTCAATTATAATATTTTAATGTATTATATGAAACTGATTGTTTGTTCTTATAACTCATGAGAGGGTGGAAAGAAGACAAAAAAAATGTTGAAGAAATCACTAGATGTAATGTCTTCCTGAATAATATTCTTAGGTTTTTTTTTTCCTAAAAGAAAGAGTAACAATTAAATGTAGTCATTGGAAGGGAAGTGGTTCTTATTTATTCTTCCATTTGTTTGGTTGGTTCTTCTACTTTTTCTTTTTCTCTCTCTACAATTTAAATTTTGAAATTTGATTCCAATTTCAGACAAAGTGAATAGTAATCCTCTTTATTGTTGCTTTGATTTCAAATTAATTATAGGAAACATAGTACTAGAAATAGTGTTCTTACACTCTTATTCCCATTAGGTGGGCCTTGCTATACAATTTCAGGTGGGAATTTCTTTTTTTTTTGGAAAAAATATTTAGATAAACTTTGTGGTTTTCTTCCCTGAATCAAAATGAACAAAGAAAATTATATATATATTTCCTGAATTTGATTGGTGATGAGACCTGACAAGGTAAATGGAGGGAAGAGGGATTGAATATTGAAAGATCATAATTATATCGTGAAAAGATATTTGGTTTTCCTCCATCAATTCGTGAATTTTACATTGTTTCATATAATTTTCCTCTTTGAAAATTCGAACCTCCAATTTTTTTTGGTAAATATATACGCCGTAATTATTTGGACTAGGATCAAATTGGTTTTTTTAATGCTTTTTTTTTTAAATTCTAGGGCATGAATTTACCAAATGCCAATTGTTCGCTCCATAAAATTTTACAAAAGTAATAACTAAAAAGATATTATTATAAATATAGAAGAAGAAGGTCGTGGATTATTTTGATTATAGTCCAGCAATATTTAAGTTAATTAATTAGTGATTGTTATGATTGTAATCAAATCATAAGTTATTAGTATAATGAACTTGAATTAGTGATTCATAGTTTTTTCTAAATTTTTTTTTTCGATTTTTGTAAAAACACATATCACCAAATATTTCAAGAAACGTAACAACACATCAATGTTTTGGTTATATTTCATAACTAACAATATTAAATAAATCAACTAGAAATTGTTGGAAGCTGATTAAAGCAAATTATTACTACTGAAGTAACCTATCAATCATAAAATTAAATCAACATGTTGATGAAAGCATGCTAATCCATGAAATAATTGTGCATCATTATCGATGTTTTAGTATATCAAGTTGCCTAACCTTAAACAGGTTATAATCAATTAACTTAAAAAAGTGAACTATGAATTAAGTCAATGATTTTATAGTTTTTATTTTTTTTTAATTTCGTATCAAACTTTTCATAAATAGTAAGTGAACTACAAGTTTTAAAATTTTCAACCACCAAAATTAGGTTTAAAATCTATTGTGGTCTTTTATTTATTTATTTATTATTACTATTTTTGAGTTCATCTATTCTTGAACTTTTATAACTATTGTATTTTGATTCTTGAACGAGTCTTTTATTTTAATTCTTAAAATTTGCATTAAAAAACTATATCTTTCAATCCTGAGTGTTAATTTACTTTGTAATTTAATAAAAATATTACATAAACATGTCTTTTTATATACTTAATCACTAGATTATACTAGATGTTAACTACAGAAAAACATTTGAAGTCGCATTGAATAGGATCAAGTATTAATTTCAGAATAGACTAGAATTAAAATAAATGATTCAAAGTTTAAGCAAAATGAAATAAATACTATAATTTAAATTAAAAAAGTATCATTAAGAAGGTAATTATTGTATATACCATTTTTCTTAAAAGAAAAAAATCACACCATATTATAGACTTAGCATATATTTTTATAAAATATTACAACATATCAATATGCTATTATTTTTTTTTTTTTGAAAATTTTGATTTTTTTTATATTTAAATATATACTTTCTTTTATGGTATTTACGATTTTTTTTAAGGATAGCACGTACAAGGTTTAAATACTATTTTGATCATTTTACTTTGGAATTTGGTTCATTTTGGTTAATATATTTAAAAAAAGTGATAATGATGTCTATTTGTAAAACTTGAACACAAATTTATACCCAATGAAAATTTTTTAATACACATTTTTTGCTATATTTTAAAAAATTTGATGAGTTTTATACCAAAATTGTGATGGAAATAAACGAGATAAAAAAAAGAATGAAATAAAGAATGAAATGACAAAAACAAATACTTTTTAAAAGGTAGAACAAACTAAACAAAAATGGAAAGTAGAAATATCAAAATTGATGTGTATCAAAATGAGCTAAAGCGGAAAATAGATGGAACATATTAAAAAAAAAAAACCGATATACAACAATTATGTACTGTAATTAAAATGTCTTTTGCTCGAATATGAAGCAATGCTCGCATTCATTTTTCTTGAGAATAAAGGAACACCAAAAAACCAAAAAAAAGAGATTCCAATTTCCAAGCTCAACGTATGGATGGCACCCCAAAATCTAGCTAAGGTAAATCTCCTACTCCGCCTGTTCATATATAATCTCTGTTCCTTAATTTTCGACGGTCCTGATTGAGATTTCTTTGTATCAACGATCCCTGATTCCATCCAACGGCCGAAATTCAAGAGTCCAGATACTCCTCGTTATTGTCTCCCACTGTGGACGAATTTTGAATTCTTTATACTTTTCTGCAATCTGTTTGATTCAGGACATTTTTATTTAAGGGAACTGAGTTTGATGTTATGTATCAGATTTTGACTTCATCCATCTTTTATGGAAATACCCAATGATCCAAGTCTAATTACGATCGTTTTCCCCAAAACCCATTACCAAAAGAAGAGAAAATCCAAATTTCTGTTCAAAGAACTTCGATCTCCAACTTCAATGGCCGAGCGCCGTGATCAAGTGGACATTGAGGACCCTCCCGCCCGTATTCCACTTCTCGAGTCAATTCAGAGTCAGAACTCAGAACCGACAGGGCGAGAAGACGACGAAGAAGCCCATTTGGACAGTGCCCTCCAACTGCTCGACGTATTGCTTGCTTTTCTGGGCTTCCACCAATCCTCTGTGCTGAGCTGTGCCCTGTCTTGGACTGGTTTTGTTCTTGTCGGTATTGTGCTGCCGGTTGTGGTGCTCCAGCTCACCGATTGCGCCACCTGCGAGAAGTACCAGATTAAGGATTTTGAGCTCGACATAGTTGCCTCGCAAGCTTGTCTTGCAGCTGTGTCTCTGCTCTGTCTCTCTCACAACCTCAGAAAATATGGTATAAAGAGGTTCCTCACTGTTGATAGGCAGACGAGTTCTTTGGCTCGGTTCCGCAAAGACTATGTCGAGAAGATACTGGTGAGCTTCTAGTGAAACTTAATCTGTTGTTTGAGATAATAGAAAACATTAGATTCCTTTGCTCAATGAGAAACAGGAAAATGAATTGAAGTAGTATGCTATAGATTTTCCCATGAGAAACAAGCAAAGGAAGATTGTTGATTCTTCTGAAGCACAAAAATGGGCAGGGAGAGAAGTTTTACTGATAAAAACCTGCTGATAAAATTGTGATGTGTGCGCATCTGTGATTGTGAATGTGTATAGATTTGACAATATCAGTCAGCTCCAATCAATGATATCTGAAGAGTAAGTGAAGTTGAAACAGATTAATGAACATAGGGTATTTATCAAAAGTCGTACCTTTTGAAAGAGTTCTTCAAAGTTCAAAAAGTGCTCATTTTCAGTTCTTTGGATATCTTTGTCATGTGACTCTGAGCTGTGGTACTAGAAGGAACTTGGTTTGACTATCTATCTCCACAGGGTTCGATACGCTTACTTGTCTTCTGGGCGCTAGCATGTTTCATTCTGAAGGCTGTACGAGAGGTGATTCGAATATTATATGCGGAACGTGTGTCGTGGGGGATATCAATTGCTATCTTACTGGCTATGACCATATCCTGGACTTATGTGAGCTTGATCTCTATTTCAACCGCCATTGTGTTCCATTTGATGTGCAATTTGCAACTCATCCACTTCGATGACTATGCAAAGCTACTGCAAACAGAGTCTGAAGTTTTGTTATTAATAGAGGAACATATCTTCCTACGCTATCATTTGTCCAAGATAAGCCACAGATTCCGAATCTTTCTTCTTCTACAGTTCTTGGTTGTTACTGCAAGCCAGTTTATGACCCTGTTCCAGACAACGGGGTATAGTGCTATGATCACCCTCATTAACGGTGGAGATTTTGCAGTAAGTTCATCATTTTTAACTTGCTTCAACAATCTTTTTTAAATACATGTAGGTCACTTTTATGAGTTCAGAAAAGGGATTAAGAATTATGCATAAGAACTTTCGGAAACTTGAATGTATCCAGGGTCTTGAATTTTGAACTATATCATTAATATAGTTCTTTAAAGCTTAATTTTCCTTACTTTTCCTTCTCAATTTTCAGGTCTCGGCAATTGTTCAAGTGGTTGGAGTTATTCTTTGCTTGCACGGAGCTACAAAAATTTCCCACAGAGCCCAGGGAACCGCATCAGTAGCTAGTAGATGGCATGCTTTAGTCACTTGTGGCCCGGGCGATGTATCTCAACCTCGACATCAAAATGGTAACGGGAACTCAGATGCTCCCAGTAGTAGACTGAACTCAATGACTAGCAATTACTCTGAAAGTGATTTGGAGTCTTTGGATATTCTTACAATGCCTACAACTACGCAGCTGGCTTCTTATATGACCTCCTATCATAAAAGACAAGCATTTGGTAAAAAACTCAGATATCTTCATCTTCCCAAGTTGCCTTATATGCATTTCCCAACTCAGTTAATATTTTGCTCAATATGGTCTTCAAATAGTTATCTCACTACTGCCTCAATTCCAAAGTGTAACTCAAAATGTGCAAATGCTTACATAATCAAACACCACAAACTCGACATAGTTCTATAATACTGTTATTTGCGTCTTTTCGGTGAATTTTTAACTTCCTTTCCATGGTGCAGTTATGTATTTGCAGATGAATCCTGGAGGAATTACCATTTTTGGGTGGACAGTTGATAGAGCTCTGATGAACACCATCTTCTTTATTGAACTCACACTGGTCACCTTTGTGCTAGGGAAAACGATAGTTTTCTCCTGATTTCACAAATTTCAGTGGCTGCCCATAACGGTTCTCTTGGTAATAAGTTCAAATCCCAGTGTCATACATACATGTATATATAGAAATCATTCATTCTTACAGACTGCAGTTCCTTAAAAAATGTAAATTGTTCTGAGAAATTTTGTATTTCATCATGTTTCTTTATTCATTTGTGAGTGGTCAATCCAAATTGTTGGAGTTATTTTGCTGTATACAGCTCTTAAAAACCAATATTCAAATACATTTCTCATTTCCTTGTCACACTCTCTTCCTGAAAAATGACTTCCTGTATTGCTTTCTTTAATGTCATTTGAACAATCCCAGAAAGCAGAAATAATAGTCACTCTTAACTAATAATAAAATCTGGAGTCGATTCAGCAAACCAACTTAAACTGAAATGTGGCTTCGAACACTCGACGACTTGCTAGAAGTGAAGTGATGCAGCTAGAAGGGGCGCCAAAATCTGTCTTTTTATACACAACACAATGCTCCAAACATTAAGAACTGCCGTTTCAAACACAAATATTATCATCGATTCGTTAATATCACTTACTCCAAAACAGACGTGTGAAAGGACTAAGGACTGCTAGAGCAAATAATAGACACTTCATATTATTCTCAGAGTACAGCTACAACAATGAATCGAACTGTTATTTGCCATTTATCCTCGAAGATTATAGCCTGAACTCCATGGATTGTGGATCAGTACAAACGATCACAAGTCACAATTTCGCAAGTCAACTAAAACTAAACAGATGTTCCTGCAATACCCTTCCCCAGATCAAATCGCAACCGAATAGCTGGCTAACAAAGAAAGCTATCCATCATTCCTGGAATGACAGTGACTGATCAGTTGGGAGCACAAATAACAGGGTTTTGACCAATGAAATGGTGATAGAAGGGTGAGTCACCTGTGAGACGACTATAGAACATGCTTTCCTGTCAATAAATATGCAAGGAAGAAGTCAGAACATCACATGAAAGCTACTGATGTTAACAGATAACTGGAGACTCAACTAATCTACAAGTTTGTAGTTGGCTAAATTTCAAATTTGAAATAACTATGAACACAAATAATAATAATAAATTGGCATCTTAATAGAACTCCCATCAATATGTTCGAACGTTTAACTTGAGATCAGAGCAATCAGTAGCTTAGCATAATTGTGTATAGATCCTAGAAATTTCGATAAGCAAAGGATGGAATGGATTATATATTAAAAAAAGAGCTACACTAAGTTACAAAATGATGGCCACAATTAGTGCAAAAAGAGCTATAACTGTAATAAGGAGATGCCTGTACCTTTCAAAAGAAGGAAAAAAAAAGTTCTCCCATCAAATTTCAAAAGGCTTCTTCTTCACTAGAGTTGCAGAGGTGAGATCAATGGGGAGGCATACAAACTGAAGGATGTGTTTTTGAACCCTGTCATGAGCATGGATACTTCCAACAGGCCCCACAAGAAAAATCTCAACATTTTTAGGATACTACCTTTGCAAATAAATTTACAAAAAACCGGAATCAGGAACGATAATGCCGCTCTTGGCGTCAAGAGAGATATGTTGACCAAAGTCCCAGAAATGTCGCAAGCCCAAAGCCATTTATCATCAAAATGAGTTAGGTAATGGCCAGCAAGCATACTTGAGAGGGAAAGCCATTCTTGAAATTCTTCATCATTTCAATTCCTTCTCAAGGTCGGGTGCTATGTGGTTTGCGAGAAAATTCAAGACATGGTTTATGGAGAGGCTTTTGCTATTGGGTATGTTATAGAGCCCCATTCAAACGACATGGGCCCTGCAACCTCTTCCCAAAATCTAATGCTTGTACCACTTCTAATATCTCAGGAAGCCAATCAATCAATTATGATGTTTTGCAACTAAATAATGGGACTCCAAGGACCTTTAACTGCTTTGCTGTAGGACGATGTGCCCACCAAACTCCTGAAAGAACACCATATTTGAGGGTTAAAACTTAAAACTATGCTAAAGAATATGTTTTCCAAGGGAAACATCCAAAGCCATTGTCCACGGAGACAATATCAATATAATAGAAGGCAAACTCCAACAAGATGGCTATTTAGTATTACCCCATTGCACGAAATGAAAATCTCCTTCTTGAAGGACAATATAAACAAGACAGCGGAAGCAAAGAAAATACTTAATATACTATATCTAAAAGATATCTAGGAAACTAAAACAATTTACATCCCTAGATTGCGACTATTTGATGCACAAACAGCTAGGAAGCTAAAACAATTTAGTTTGAATAATATCTCCACATCGAACATGTATTGAACACAATGAAATTCTGATACTTGTTAAAGACTTTTAAACAATAACTTCACGTGTCCAGATTGGACCCCTCCCTGACGAATCCCCTCAAGAAACAACATGCTTCCTCCAATGCCAGGTTCTTGGGACTTGGAAGACACCAAAGGATTTTCAGTTTTTAACTCATCAAAGGATCAAATCTGAGATTTTGTTACCTACATACCACACTAGCAGACACACGCCTAGGTTTCTAACAAGTAGTATTTTAAATGTAAACCAGCTGTCATTAAGAAAAAATGAAAGAGAAGTACAAAAGGGTGAAAAAATCCAGACAAGGGGCATACAAAAGGACAGCCCACCCACAGAGTCTGAAAGCTAATTATACAAGAAGAGACTCCAATTTAAAGAAATAAGACCTATCGAGCCGACGCTCAAATAGAGGCGTTAAACCTAGTAAAAGACCGCACCAACTTGGGAGATTGCTCAAAATCAGCTTGTTCCTTTCCACCAGAGACCACAAATAACTGTGAAAAAACCCACATGCCAAAGAATCGAACCCTTACCACAAAAGGGAGGATTACCGATTACGAATAACCTCCTCTATCATATCTGAGCACCCCCAGGTCTAGCCAAACTAAAATGGAACACCTGAAAGAAACAATCCCAAATAGTACGGATATACTGACAATTCCATAACAAATGGTTCAAGTCTTCAGCAAACAAGTGTTAGATCTATTATAATTCTTTTACTTTTACTGCATAGAGAACATAAAACTAGTTTCCAATTGATACTTATTCTTGATGCTATTTTGGAACTTAAAAAGCTTTGGCCCAATGTAGCTCTTTGCCAAGAAAAAGAATTTTACATTACAAGTTGTAGAAGCATGGGGAAGCACAACAGAAATAAAGATAAAACAAGAAGAAGGGACATAAAAAATTATATACTTAACTCCACCTCAAAACTTCCAGATGGGGGCATTCTCTCTCTCAATCAAGGGACAGAGCTGTTTCTTACAAGACTTCTACACATGAAACGTACCCACCGTGACAGGAAAATTAATTTAATTTATTAAGTGTAATATAAAAACAAACAAAAAAAATTAAGGCAAGGAATTACACAAGCAAAACATTGCTGATACACAGCCACAACAGCAGATATCATGTCAACTGTGTACATACACGATACAACGATGATTTCCACACAAATACACTTACACTTGGTCCATACAGAGAGTCAATTTCATCGTCTAACTGTCTACCAAACTCAACAAATATGATTAAGAATAAACCCTGCTTCAATGCCCTATTTCTGACTTATATTAAAGCTCAAGGTACTTATCTTAATAAACAGATATTGCTCCGATCTTGGCAAGAATTTCGCAGGTTCCTGTAAGAGAATGCTACACAACATCAAATCCCATGATTTTGAACTAGCTCTTTGCTACTAGAATCCAGACACCAAAATTCATTACGACACATTATCCTACCAATCGTATACATTAAATTTTATTTCTTATTGAAAGCAACTGCCTGGACAAACACCACTGGGAGGTATCAAATGCATGCCAAACCCCAAGCTGATAAACTGATGCAGACTACAGGATTGCATGCCTTTTTTCTATTTGTATATTGAAGTGTTGTGGTTCAAGAAGGAAAGTACTTGTAAATTGTCCACGGGTTAGTCAGTATAACATATCAACAATGATTCGAAGCAGTAGCGAAGACCGATACAACTCCACTGGTAATACACAACCATTTAAACAGAGATCAAAGTACAGACTACATAATACAATACTATAAGAAATTTGTCGATTACCGAAACAAATAAGCCAAGTTGGTCTTGAGTCAAGCTAGTGAAGACATATACCACAAATTTCACAAGCACTATTAAAAAATTGACACATGCTCAATAAAATGTAAGGAACGTGTCTTAATGAAAGTTTATTTTTCATTAAAAAGAGAATGTAAGAAAGGTGATTGAAGTCAAACTGATGCATCAACTAATCCATAACTTTTTTCATCAACTTATTGTTTAATGCATTTTCAATTGCATCAAGCATTTTAGATATCATCCTGTGTAATGTCAACAATTTAAAATCAGAAGCATAATGTTTTTGAAGTGTTTTTTGTTGGAACACAGTTTCCTCCCCCTTCAAGTGTTTTTTCCTTGTATCTTTCTTCTCTTTTGTCTTCCTTCTGTCCAGCTTCCAACATATGACTTCCTTTCACCACCTACCACCACTCCCCATTCTTACATCCAGTCTCAGGCATCATTTTACGAATGGTGATTTTTTTCTTGCAAGTCCCTTTTTCTGCCGACTCCATTTTCTTCTTTGGAAAATTGCAAAACAAGTCCGTAAACCTTCCAACCCTCTAAATCTCTTCCTTCTGGAATAAACAAATATTCCTTTCCACGATTTTTGCGTACTTACAATACCGCAGTCCTTTTTCTGACCATCTTCTCCATCATGACACATAAGCATGGAATCTTGATTTTGAAAAAATGTATTAGTTGAACCGTGGAAGGGAGGATGATATAAGATCTCCTTGAACATAGCCCTGCACGATCTATTACAAGGCATTAGACACCAAAAGCCTCCAAGAATCTGTCTCAAATCGCCTCAGAAAACTCACAACTGCACATGATCAAAACTTTTCGAGTCCTTACACACAACACACCACTAAGGCCACGGGATAACAGAATACGATCTCTAGTTACAGTCAATGGTATCAATCCTCCCAAAACCAACTAAATCCTACATCAAAAGAAAACCTAAAAGATTTGGATTCAATTTTGAATGTGGAAGCTAAATACTTCCAACTATTCCTACCTTCCTCTCTCCCACCCAACTCTTTGCAAAGTTCTCTTCAAGGCAATCGGGAAGTATGGCAGCCTAAGAAAAAGTGAACTATCCTATCGAGACCTTGTGTTTTGGGGGACTTAACGCCCTAGATAAAGTTTAAAAAAAAGTATATGCCCTTCTTCCGTCAATCCTTTGTGGTGCACTGTGCACACTATATTACAACGAAGAGAAAAGTAGAGATCACGTACAGAAAAGTCAAAATCACATTTTCTTTCTTTGCTACTTCAGTAGGAAAACCGCATTCTACAAAATTCCAACCTACACTGGATTTACCACTCAACAACACTGGAGAATTTGAACCAGCTGACTTGAGCATAAATTCCAAAAAAGAAAAAAAGGGAAACGAAAGAAAGAAAGAGTAACTAAGATCGTCTGTAGTGAAAGAAACCTGCAATGAAAGATTCTTCAATGATAAGGGAAGAGATTGGAATGAGACGTAGGAAATAGCTAGATTTTAATTGTTCGTTTTGAAGTTCTTTTTAACTCCCTCCTTTCAGTAATTATTATCCAAAATGTAATTATTACAAATCAGGCTTTTTGTAGAACATAAGTGGATAAGCTTATTCTGGACAAGGTGTAAAAAGCACAAGGTGAGCACCTAAGTGAGGTTGATCACCAAACATAAGACCATAAGCGTCAACTTAAGTATATCAATTGGTTAAGACACCTATTTTCAACCAAAAGGTCGTGAATTTGAATCACCACCCTACATGTATTAAAAAACATCAAAAAAAAAAAAGACAAGGCACTATAAATGACCCCGAGCATGCTTGAAGTTATTGACGCCTTACAAAATAAATAATGTTTCCACATGCCATATTGAAATGCTACCTTCCAATTTCAAAGTATCGTGGTTAATATCTATTTTATGGATGAAATACAAGTATGCGCCCTCTACTACATCCAGTTGTTTCTCGTAGCCTCTAGGTGAAATTAGAAAATATAACCCAACACATACTGACATACAGTAATTATAACTCAATATTGAAGCTCAATTCAAATCCAATAATTCTCCATTTTCCACAAGAAAACTTTACAGCAAAGGCTACTATTTCAAGGAAATATGCTACAACTAGTGATGTAAGTGCTACAAATGCATGCATTTCCAGATGATCGTCAATCCTCGAAAGCAAAGTTCACCTGAACGTACAATATACATATTTTCACCAACTACCAGGACGTGCCCCAGGGCAATCAGCACCAATCATCTCGTGAAAACCAGTGCTGTCTTCCTCTTATTCAATTCAACTGCCCCACCAAATTCATAAATAGCAATTCTAATAATAAATGGAAGACAGACCCTCAGCCATCACTTAACAAATCATCTCTCACCAAAGAGACCAGCAGTTCCTAACTCCYGGTGCTGCAATTCCTTTCTACGTTGCTCCTCTAGGGGATCTGGACTCTTCAATATTCTTCGCATTCGCCTAAACACAGGATAGACAGAGAACATCACTATCAGAATGAAGGGGTATAAGCAAGGCAGTTCGGGTAAATTTCTGGCCTGAAACATCAAACCGATAGAACCAGCAAAATCTATATTTTCAATTTTATATTTTAATCAAACCGACCCATGACACATATTGCTCAAACTGACCAAAATGACTTGGTTCAATCCGTCTTTTCAGTTTTGGTTTGTTGCACCCCCAATGGGAGTATATGCAGACAATAATTCTTCAAATAATAATTTAGCTACCTGTCTTGAGAATGCTGAGCAGGGAAAGTAGGCATGAACTCCTTAGACTTCGGGAGAGGCACTTCCCGAAACCACTCATGATCAAGAGCTTCTTCAGCTGATATTCTCTGAAAAAAAAATTGAGAAATTTAATAAACAAATGGAAATGTAATGGGAGAAAACCAACTTGAACTGATTAATAGTTACCTTATCAGGATCATATGCCAGAAGTTTGGTCAACAGATCAAACCCAGAATCAGAGAGAACCGGAGTGCCAGTAAATGATGTGGCAGGGAATTTCTTACGAAGCATGTTGACCCTGAAAGGAACAAAATAGCAGTCAATACTACAATAAACCTGGGACGATTTCACCAACAGGCCAGCTAGTCAGACCGGAATCACACAAAGCTGGAAGCCTGGGAAACAGCGGAAAAATAAGAAAACTTGTATTATTGAAGGGTACAGTTAAAAATAAAATAAGGAAAGCATTGAGAACTTACTGGTGCTTGACAAAGTTGACTCTAACACCAGGTAGCTTGGAGAATCCAGGCCAAATAGTCTCATTGGGAGTGCCAAGAATTCTAAAGATCTGTTAAGTCATACCAATAACAAGAAGAAGAAGAAGAAGCTTGTGTTATTGCAATTTAAGATTTTCGACCACTAATAAAATAAAAAAAGAACGACAGAATGACATATTACCTTATCAAGTTGGTCAACTTCAGTTTTCCCATTAAAAAGAGGTTCCTTCGATAAAAGTTCAGCCATGATACAACCTAAGGACCACATATCAATCGCTGTTGAATACTGTCTTGCTCCCAACAAAAGTTCAGGTGCCCTATCATATAAGAGACCAAAACACAGTCATACTTTGTCCCCAAACATTCTTATATCATATGTACACAGGGAGTGTTAAGAACATAATGCATAGATTAGTCTTATAAATAACTCAATGTTTCAACAAAAAAAAAAGAAAAAATTAAGAAACGAAACTGCCTCAGACACCAAATGAAAATACTAGGATAGAGGCACCAAAGTGACGATACTTTGTATAACAAGCACTAAACTGGCAATTGCAGTCAACTAAAACAACATCAGGTCCTTTAGATCTTAAGATAAAGATAGGTATAAGAGATGCTAAACCACCCATAACAATGGAATGTAATATACAATGACAAATACGAAGAAGTAAAAAATCAATGTTTGAGCATGGAGTGGAAGAGTGAAAGAACTTTAGGCTTTGTACCATAAAAAGATACAGCATACAGGGATCTTTATAGCCTTCTCTGCATTGGTATTTGTTTAAGAGTGGACAAAATGATGGCAGACTAAGAAAGAAGAAATCACCTGTACCAAAGAGTAACAACTAAATGTGTATATGGCTTCAAAGGACTTCCATACTGACGAGCCAATCCAAAGTCACATATCTTCAATTCACCCTGATTGTTCAAAAGCAAATTAGATGTCTTTAAATCCCTGTGAAGCACCCAGTTACTATGGAGATACCTAAGACCCTCCAATAGCTGGATCATTAGGCATTTTACTTCACTCTGACTAAAAGGATGCTTCATGGTCTCCATGAGTCCCTTAAGATCATGCTCCATGTATTCCATCGCCATAAAAATGCTATCAAGACTACTCCCCACCACGACTTCCTTCACATCAACAATTGATGGGTGATGGAATGAGAGAAGAATATTTATTTCTCTCAAAGCAGTCAGTGGAAATCCTTCCCGCTCCTTCTCCATTTTTACCTTCTTCAAGGCCACAATTTCCCCAGTCTTCTTGTCTCTGGCTCTATACACAACCCCATAGGTGCCTTCGTCAATCTTGTTTAGTCTCTCAAATTCGTCAACACTTCTACATCCCTGAAGCATGTTTACACTTCGTTGTGGGGGTGCTGGAGGATCCTGGGCGGCAGAAACAACGTTATCATTATCAGAATCAGTATCTGACAGACTAAAACTAGCATAACTAACATCATGCCCCTCATCAACCTCCATGTAGTCACCCTTCTCCACATCATCACCAGGATACTCATCCCCACTCAAAATTCTACAATGGGCACCTTGTTCGTTAGATTCAGATGACCTCACTCTCAATCCACTGGACTTGAAACCATTGCTCTTAAGGTCCCCAGCCTCCGGAAATGGGTCACTCAAGGTCTTCCAATGTACTTCAGTTTCCCGAATTTCTGACATTAGTAGTTTCTTTTGTCTTAGTAATTCTTTGTTATCTAAAACCTCACCTTCATCAGCTGGAGAGGAATTTCCACCTGCCCACCGTGAAAATGAGATATTCCGGGTTGGACCATTATCTTCATCATCTAACAGTTCTGCTTCTACATTCTGGTGTAAATGCTTTCGTAAAACAGGAGACGACCTTGCTGATGACTCAGACATTTCACGTCCAGATGCAAAAGGAGATTCAGATTCAGAAGAAGATGGCAAATTCTCGTTATCTCTATTCCTAACTGAAGATGTATGAACATCTCGGTCTAAGTTAATATTAGGAGACTGGCGAATCGACTTCTGGGGCCGTGGAAGAGCCATCACTGTTGTAACAGTCCTATTTCTGGATAGATTACTTAATCTGTTGTCGTCCCTGTCCCAAACTATAGGCGAAAATTTTCTCTTCCTCTCCGTAGGAGATAGAGTCCCATTTTCTACCACCTTTGAAACCTCGGTATCTTTGACTCCCAAGCCAGATTCAATGGCATCATCAGATCGACTCTCACTAGATAACTCACCCGACTCCCTATCGATGGTACTAGAACCCCTATTTTCCATCAGGCCACGATTACTACCACTACCCGAATTACTTTTCCTAGAAGACGAATAATAAGAACCACTAACAACCGCGTTCTCCTTCATGTCCTGGCGCCTAATCCTGACCTTATCTCTGACGTCGCGCATTAGACTCCTACGAACACCACGATCATCATTCCTGACCTCAACTCTTTCAAGTTCTTGCCTGGCATTGCCAAACGACTTCCTCGACACATGAAAATTGGTCTCCCGGTCCCTGAACTCGTTTTCACGGTAGCCCCCATGTCGCCCAGCCGCCATAATTATACAGCAAGTATGAACTTCAGGCGGTACCGCAAAGTCGATGCAGACACACTCAAGAACTGCTTCAAGCTTCAGAATTCAAATTTTAGTACAGAATTCGACTGAACCCCTTGAAAGAAATTACAAAAAGCGAAACACACAAGGCGTAAGTCCAAACGTACAAAAAGAAGGTTCTGGAAACAAGATGATGTTATTCCATACAAGAATTCCACCAAGAACTTCCGTTCTATAAAAAATATGGTAAAATACAACTTAATGGAAATAAAGCCCTAGCAAGAACTGGGGAGAAAAGTAAAAACTAGGTCAGTCCCCGATCCCTAATTTGGAGAAAATGGTTTCAGACAGATGTATCGGCGTCGGCGATCGTAGAGAAGGGTATGACAAAATACGGCGAACGCTGCTTCCGGAGGGGAGAGAAATCCCTCGCTCAATCGAAGCCAACGTGATCGCTGCGCGAAAAAGAGGACTAGAGGCGGCGGGACTCGTTACCTTTATTCGCGATAATAGTTTTTTCTTTCTCAAAATTAAATTTAGGAAAAAAAAAACAGACAAAAAAACAAAACAATAATTTAATTACTTCTTTTTAGTACAACTTGTAATTTTTTTTATTATACTTCGTTCGAAACTTATTACAAATATATATTAACTCCCAGATTATTTTCAAAAATAATATCTTGAAAATGGTAGGTCGTCTCTCCAGGATACGATCTACCACACCACATGCTTATGGCGTCACGCTGGCGCCATGTGTTTTAATTCTAACATGTCAGTCTCTTCAAGAAACAACATATGCAAAATAATAATAGTGTTGATATTAAATTTCTTATTTTTTATTCTGGTTCAAATCTCAATTATATCACTCAAATTATTTTAGAATTATCCAACAATAATTACTATTATAAAAAAATATAATTAATTATTTTTACTTTTAAATTATAATTAATACATTAATATAATTCATTTAATTTACTTAATTCGTAAAATAAAATCTATCTTTTTTTAAACAATATATTTTTATTCCTAATTTCCTTTTATAAATAGCAGTTGTTTTGATAATATAATTTTAATAGTAATTAATTTTTTTTCTAGGATTACTAGTTGCTTTATTCTATAGAATTAAATTTATTTAAATTTGTTTAAAAGATAGATAATTGTAATATAATTCTTTTTTAGTACGAGTAGGTGTTAATTATTATTGAGATATGTCTATGTAGACAACAATAAATTATATATTTTTTATGGTAAATTGTTTTTTGAAATTAGTAGTTATTTTATTTTAGAAGATCAGATAAATTTTAATATAAAATTATATTGAATAAAAATGAAAAAAAGTGATATAATTGAGATTTAAACCATAGACATTTAGATTAAAAAATAAGGAAACAACCACTGTAACATAATATTAACATTATTATTATTTTGCATATATCATTTATTGAAGAGACGACATGCCAGAATTAGAAAAAAAAAACATAGCGCTAGCGAGTCGCCATGCAATTAGGGAGGTGTGAGGTGACAAGAGACACCTACAATTTCCAAAGTATTATTTTTGGAAATAGTTTGATAATTGATATATATTTGTAATAAGTTTCCAATGAAACATTATTAAAAAATAAAAAATCTCAACTAATTGCTTTCTTATGATAAAATTAGAACAACCAAGTTATCACATTTTGTATAATTTATTTAATTTCACTTTTGGTTATAATCTATATATTATTTTAACAGCATAGCTATATACTTATTTCCTCGAAATCGAAAGTTCAGTCATCCATATATTTGAATTATTATACTAAAATATACATATATATATATATACACACACATACCATTTTAGTTTAATAGAGAAATTACACCTCCAAAATCCAAGCAATATACCTTAATTTAGTTATGTTTATATTTGCCGTAATATTTTAATTATACTCAATGTTTCAAATATTTTCTTTTAACGTAATTTTTTTAACTAATAAAAGTTTGAGAATTTTAAAATATTAAGTATAAAATTGGAAATTTCAGCTGGAAGATAATTTGGGCATAAAAACTACTATATTTTTGTCAATAATTTGTTCATTTACCATACTTTAAAAATGTTATTTAATTTACATTTTTATTATTATTAATTTAAAAACTAACATATTTTTATAATTTTTATTTAAATAATTTGTTTGGTTAGAATTTCCACTCAATAACCATCTGTATAATTTATTTAAAATCCTATCTGTTAATTTTTTTAATGAATTGATAATTGTCATTCTGGAGATAAATAATAAATAAATAACTCATTACAAATAGAAAAAGAAAACCAAACAAAGTCAGGGTGTATTTGAGAATGATTTTGACGTACTTTCATATTAAAAATTTGACAGTAGGATAATATAAAATAATTTAAATTTAATTTTTAAAGTATCACTTTGTGGTGATTTTAAAAAATAAATTATTCTTAAATTTATTTGTTCAAAATCACTTATTATACCCCCACTTCCAAATACACCCTCATAATAAATATATAAATACAATTTAGAATGTGTTATAATCAAAACAGTTGATGACATTGACTACAATTTTCCTTTTTTTTTGTATAATTTATTTGGCAATATAATTTATAAAAAAAACATGTACTCATTAACTTAAAAACAACATTATACTCTTACTAAGATTTGAAAAATAAAATATATCAAAAAAAGGTTTAAAAAAAACCTATAAATAGCATTTATCCATTTGTTTAGTACACTAGGGATATGAGATTCGAACTTGTAACGTCTGGTTTAGAGACACGTGTCAATTACCACTGAACTAAGCTTACGTTAGCTAGCATTTGTCCATCTATTTATCCATCTATTTGGCAATTTTGTTGGCAAGCGAACTGGAACTTTATAACATGGTTCCAAATGGTTGCTCCACAATTGAACAATACTACAAAACAGCAAATAAGACAATATAACACAAGCAGCTGAAAATCAGAAGAGAACAATTCACTTAAAAATTTGAATATTTTATAACAATTCTGAGGTAAATGCATTTTACAGATATTYAAGGAGAAAAAAAAGGAAAAGTGGCATTGTTTTTACCGGGAACAAGCAGATTTGAAGAAACTTAGAAGGGAAATATTGAATGATGCTACCAGCAGCAGAGTGAAGGCAACTTGAAGGAGAAATAAGAAGGCAAGTGACCAGTCCTCCTGATATAATCAGCCTTTTCAGAAGTCCTTACAGATTTCTTATTTAGTTTTGCCTCTGCATTTGCACGTTTCTCTTCGGCTATTCTTCTCGTCGCTGCAAGTTTATCTGCCAGCATCTCTTCTGCACATGCTTTCATCTTATCTGCCCTTTTCTGATCAAATCATCAACAAACTCACTTGCTAACCACGATTCGATATGGAAACATATTAAAGATTATATCTTCACTACGGAAACATATTAAAGATTATATCTTCACTGCGGCTTCAGGGAAGCGTATTTTAGTTTCTATAGTTTGAGTGTAGTTTCATGGGTTGAAACCGTAAAATGCGTTTATGTTGCTATCATATGTTAATCATCTTCTTATGTAACACGTTTAATTTAGATAGAGACTAGAGAGAGAGGGGTGACGAGCTCATGTTTAATATAAATTATATACACAAGATTTTTTTTTTAAACAAATATACACAAGTTGATTGTATTATGACTTGAGTTGGATAAAATGGAAGAAATTGCATGAGTTTTCCAAAAACTAGTTGGTCATAAAATGAGCGTCTTCTGCACTTCTAAAACCATAATCCAAAAATTTGTATCTTCTCTCTATCTCATCAAAAGAAAATATGTCACATAAAAAAGATGCATTTTAGAAGATTTTACCAAACTATACGATGAAAAAAAAAAAAAGTAAAAGTACGGGTAACAGTACCTCCATTTTTCTCATTTTTGACTCGGCTTTCCTCTTCTCGCTGGTTTCCCATGCCTGTATCCTCACTTCTTCACGTTTATACCTATAAATCCAAAGCAATCAGCATATTTCATGAGCATCCGAGTTAAATCTGCCATTTTGAGTTCCCCCAGATGCATCGTAAGAAGGATTGCCAATGGAGGAAGAAATTCAAAGCCTTTCAGGTTTCTATTCTAGTCGTCTAAATTAAAAGAATATATGTTTATTTTATTGGAGTTTTATAAATGAAGCAACGAAATAGACTCTACAAAGTGGTTTGCTTTCAAAATTTACAACTGTTTTTCAGTAACCAAAACAATAGAAGTTATCAAAATCAGGCAAAGTTTTCAGAATTTGGACGGGCAGAGGCAAAACCAGAGGAACAATCAAAAGAGCTCAAAGGGTCACCTTGCCATATGCTTGGCTCGTTCTGCTTCGTCCCAAGCCATTGCTCTAGTTTCCATGGAGTTCATCTTCACAGCCTGATCAGAGTTCCGGTTTTTCACCACCATGGCATCGGAAGCAGCACTCATTTGGCGATCTTCAATGGCTTGCACTTCATGGTGAGGCCTTGCTGGAGTGGAAGATCCAGAAGTTATAGGGCTCTGAAGCACAGGGGTTGTGGCTCTAATAGGGGTAGCCGTCCTTGAAGGCTCCTGACTCGCTATGGGAGTCATCTCTGTCCCCATGTCCCTCACGCACACAGACCTAACCACCGTTTTACAGTTCTCCAATGGCTTATTGATTCTCCAAATGGGTTCATCACATTCCATCTTCTTCGTTTCTGCTTCACTTTGACTGCTCGTTGCAGAACCAAAGCCTCCATTTTCTTCTTGCCATTCAGTCCTTTTATCTCCACCGCTTGAATAGTCCTGCTCCTGCTGTGGCACAGCAGCTATCAGCCGCAAGTCATCGGCATTAGAATTTCTATGCTTGATTTTGGACTCTTCTTTGTCTCCTCCTTTTGGCAAACCAAAAATCCATTTCTGTGCATCGTCCCACTTCGATGGAGTTGACTTGGCAGCGGCTAACCGACGATGGAAAGTGCCATTAGCTCCATTTCCTCTTTGAAACTCAAAACCCATAGCCTTTTCATGTTTTAATCCATTGTTGTGATACCCATTATCCTCTCTCCCCCTCATTTTGGTTAAAAAAAAAGCTCTCAGTCTCTCAGTCTCTCAGTCTCTCAGTCTCTCAGAGACATTTTTTCAAACAAATGGTGTGCACACTCCAAATATCACTCAGAAACTCTGGACCCCAACTTCAAATGCAAACCAAAAACAGATCTATAGCCCCATAAGTATCGGCAGAAAACAACTCAATGAAAATAAGTTAGTGATACAGATATTTCATTTCAATGGCAGGCAAACAGATAAAGAAGATACCGAAAAGAGCCCACAGAATTGATAAAACTTTTCGTTTCCATTCAGAAGACGAATGCGAAAATGAAAGCAATAGAACCCGACAAGAAGTAGAACCTCACCATGTCTGATTGCTGAAACTTATGTCACTGAATAAGATAATGGACCCATATGAAGCAGTAAAGGCATGTACATTTAGAAATTAACTGAAGAGTAAAGAAGTCTGTAATTTCCATGGCAGAGAGAGAGCTCAGAAGCGTAGGGAAATCAATGGAAGAGGGTACAAACGTAATGATTTGTAGAAGTAGAAGCTGGCAAGGCTCTGATTAGATTACCTTCACAAAATTGAAGAGAGAGCTACGAATCTATGATGAATGGTAAAATTTAAAGCATGGAAAAGGAGGGAGTTGCAGATCTATTATGGAGAGAATTAAAGAACAGAGGGGGCTCATTGGGAATGGAGACAAACCAGCAAATATGTGGCAACTTGTCAAGTAATACCAAAATAATAATTAAATTTGTTTTTCTTTTTAAGTGAAATTGCAATGGAAAATGATGGACTTTTTCACTGAGCAATTCACATGGGGTGCAAACCACTCAGAATCTACCCCACTTCCATGTAAGAATTCTTGAAATTTGATTCAAAGTTTTGGTTTTAATTTTGTCTTTTTATGCTTTTGATGTTAAAAGAGAGTTTGTTTCCTTAACAGAAATGAGAATGGGAATAAATCCTTATGAAAATCAATCAAATTAAATCTTTTTTTCTTTTTAACAAATAAACATCTCATTCAAAAAAAATAATAATAATAATAATAATAATAATTGAGGGTTACATTAGAACAGTGATTACCACACATCACCATCTCAATTTATGAAGAAAAAATTGTCCAAAAATACATAGTAACGATCAGAAATAACACATTTAGCCAATAAAAAAAACTTATATATATATATTAAAAAAAACTATAAATACAACCAAATTTTAGCCCTCTAAACACATTCTCAAAATCATTTTGATACTATTTACTAAGTCATTATTTCAATATAAGTCTAGCTTAGCGGTTAAAACATCTTTCTCTTAGAGGTCAGTCCGAAGTTCGACCTCTCATCATTACATTCCTAAAAAAAAAGTTAATATTAACCCAGGATAAAAATACGTATCATTATAAAATATTATAAGAAACACGTAGATTAAACAAAAGAATTTATATATAAATATAAATATAATTTTCTTTTTATCAACTATTTTGTTTAAAGAGGTCATTGATGTAGCCCAACGCTGCAAGTTGGGCCGATCCACAGACCAAGCAAATAAACTCGTAGCTCGAACAGGAAGCCTCCGGCCTGCGTGGTGGAGAAGACGGCACACGGCGGGCGAGAAAGCTGAGAACTCGACCTTCATAGAATCATAGCGACGAAGTGGTATTGATAGCGCGCGCCGGCGCTCACCGCACAGCAGAGATCACATGTTGGTGGCGCAAAGAATTCGATCTTCATCTGCTTTTTCTTCCACGATTCGTTCTTTGCAACAATGGAATAAGGGCATTTTTGTTCACAACCATACTGTATCTTCCTCCACTGCCAGCTCTAGCAACAATGGTCTTCTTGATCTTCAGGAGGTCGAGACGGTTCTGAATAACGTGAAGGCGGACGATGTCAAAGTGATACCAATCCGCAAAGACTGTGATTGGGCTGATTACATGGTGTTCGCCACTGGTAGGTCGACCTGGCATGTTAAGAACATTGCTCAAGCCCTAATTTACAAGGCAGGTTGCTTTTACATTTCTGTCTGATTTTACTGTTCCGAAATTTCAGTTAGATTGCCAAGCTGATGAATTTGAAGAAGAGAAGTTTCTGGTTGTAGTGGCTTAATATGTAATCGCGTTTATTTGAATCGACAGATCAAGCAAAAGCAGAAAGGAGCTAGACAGTTGATACTCCCTAGTGTCGAAGGGCAAGAGGACGGAAAGTGGATTGTCATCGATTCTGGTCTGTCTACTCTCTTTAACGAGTACTATGAATGTTCTTGTTCTTGAATTTTGTAGGGAACGTTCTTGCAGATAAGTCAATTGTTACTGTCCTTCTAGTCTACGCCTAAACAAAATATCAACCAACTAATTCGAATCACATAATTTGAAGTGTTTTCAGTGCACCTTAGCCCTCTTCGCGACACTTTATCTTAGGTTTATACTATGATTTCTGCTGTTTGCAGTGTCTCGAATTAGTTAAAATTCTTTATACTAATCATTTATGCTAGGCTTATCTAGGAATGGTAATGATAATGAAAATCAATAGTAGTATTGAATTAACAAAAATTGTGCCATAAGCTTGTCATAATTGTACTTATATCTATCTATTGGCCATGTCCTAAGGGGAGTTCTCAATGTGTATATTTTAATTGATCACTATTGATGTGTTTATAATTTGTCTTTGAATATTTCCTATTAGGTAAAGTAGTTGTTCACGCCCTTGATGAGAATGCCAGAACTTATTACAATCTGGAAAGCCTTTGGTCAACCGAGACAGCGCCAGATGATTCTTCGCAGGTGAATTCTTGATGCTTTTCTTTTATCCTTTTTATAGATTACCCCTCCCCCTGCACCTTAAATGATCTTTCTTCTAGCGAGTAGTTCCTACGAATGGGGGGGGGGGACAAAGGGAAGAAATAACCGATGGCTGTTAGTCATTATCGAGCGAGCTGCTGTTTTGACGATGAGCATTGAGCACTTATATTTCCTTTCTCATTTTTGCACAGTTAACCATAGAGTATAATTATGCATTTGATCAAAATAGAGGGGAAGAGAAGAGCATACTTGGACATAGTTTTTATTCCACCTCTTTTGAACGCTATTTTTTAATTATTATTATTATTATATATTTTTTGTGATAAGTAACCAAGGAGAAATTTCATTAACAAAAGAGGAAAATCGAGAGTAAAAAGAAGGGGGAAGATGAGTATTCCCACTGCATCAAAGGGATTACAAAAAAGAGTCCCAATTAGCATAGCTTAGCAAGAAGTCATAATTACAGAAGTGTTTAGAGCGAGTACGTCACATGGAGGCAAAGACTATAACTAGATCCCAAAAAGCCTCACTGCACGCTTCCTCCCCTTTGAAAATTCTCTTGTTTCTCTTCTTTTAATTCTTAACTCTAAGGAACGTGATTTAATCTTTCATTTGAATTTTGGACCTTGTTTGGTGGTCAAATTTTATGTCTAGGCTAACTTAGAGGTAGAGGTGACAAACGTACACTGGTAATTTCAATTTAGGGGCAAAGACAACATTACCATTAGTAATTTACATTCTAGCTACATTTGCGATGAATTGCTGAATCATGCTTGAATGTGAAAATTTCCTTCATAACATGACATTAGATGTTGGTGATACTGTAGCATAACTGAGTCTAGAGACAACGAGCTCGGTGGAGGAGACCATTTTCTTCTCTTTCAGAGTGTTTGAATGGTTATTCTTAGCTGGCTCTCCCTTTTTTAATTCCTTTTGGCCCCAGCACTGGCTTGGGCTATATCAACTTACGCTTTATATGCGGGGAAAGTAAAGCTATTCTATTTGGTCTTGATGCCAGACTGGACCGAGTTAAGTAAAGATTGGCTACTTGGGGACTTACAACCACACCCTCATAGTAATCCAGCGATTTCTAGCTGGCTGGTTTCCTTCACTAGGTGCATTTTGTCCAACGTTCATAGGCACCAATTAGGCTACTCTATCTGTTGAAGGCTTAGACGATCTTGGCTAAAAATGTTATTCTATTAGGGGACCTCCTTCGGCTATCCCTTTCTAGAAGTAATTCAATGTATGATTTCCCTTTCTTTGGGTGACCAAATAAGAGTAAAATTAGAAACTTAAAGCTACTCAGCTAGTTAAGGCATATATCCTTAACTAAAAAGTCGGAGGATCGATTTCTCGTTAAACTTAAAACAAAACTAATGTCTTGTTCTCATCCTTGTACAGGATCTGGACAGAGCTTTAGTGAAGATACGCCGGAAGAACAACTCCAAGAAACCAGCACAAAAAGGTACTTTAATCAAGTGAAAAATTACAAATGTTTACATCTTTCTCATCTGTTGATACGGGGCGAGTCCGATATGACGGTTGTGCATAAATGTTCTTATATATTCTCTTTAGCTTTGCCTCCGTTTTTGAATAATGTAGACTTGGATAAATAACGGTACCAATACAGCAATTTTATCAAGAGTATCCAATTTTCATTTTGATCAATGAGATCAGTAATTAATATATGTATAGATGGTTGGGATCAATGGATTGATCACGAGCCGAAATATGGTTGGAGCCCGATGTTCGGTTCCGGACCTCCTACATTCTATTTTTAGTAGGGTTTTTTTAAATAAATTTTCTTATCGTTTGGATTATAAAAAAAAAAGGAAATCGACGTAGGAATTTGTAAGCAAGTCTAATTTAAAAAAAAAAAAATATATATATATATAAAATGTATCATTATTTAATTAAGTCACGACAAGTTTTATTCTTTTTCTCAACTATGCTTGAATTGGTAAATGCTTTTTATCTTTTTTTTTTTAATTGAGATTATGGATATAGATATTTATATGGTAAATTGCACTTTGAAGTTTGAATTAAGATTGTCCTTAAATTTCATTTTATTGAACCTTGAAAGGTGGTCTAAATGGTCTTTAAAGTTAAACGTATGTTAGTTTTTTTTTAACAGAAATATGACATCTAATTTTTACTTTTACATTATTTTTTACTGCTGTCATGAAAAGGTCATCCAAATTAAGATCTCTCTTCCCCCTTCACCTTCTGTGTCTCCTCCCTGTATCTCTCATCTCTCCTGTCCGTTCGCCCTCGACCTCCCCATCCTCCCCTCCCTTAAAATTTTCTTAAGATTTTCAGACTTTTTAATTGAAGAAGAAAGAAGAATAAGACGGAGTTTTTCCGTTAGTAAAAAAAAAAAAATACATATCCACCAAATTCACAACTTTTTCTTTTTTCTTTTTTAATAATCAAAATCCATCTCATCAGCTTCCCCCAAAATCATCTCTCTCTAGAACAGAATGGGTCAGTTTCTCTCCCTTTTGCCCATTCAACTAGATCAATAGTTTCTTAAATCAGATTGACGCATCTGATCTGCAAGAGGAGGGGATGTGGGATCTGAAAGGATATTTTTGTTATTTAATGAAGTTATTTTCTTTCCCACCAAAAAAAAAAAAGAAAAAATACACTTTTGGTTTGATCTGATCCCTGAGATTTGGAATTGGTGTCAATTTGGTTTCAAGTTTCAAAATAAGCACTTTTGGTCCCTAAAATTTGAAAAATTGTTTTGAATGGTTCCTAAGTATTCTTTGACCGTTAGTTAATGGAAAATGACGTGTCAATTCACGATGAGATATTTCTTAATTTTTTTTTTATGATTTGTAAAAAAATATTAATTTTTACATCATGTTGAGAGCAATGAAAGAGATGATAGAGAATGATTGAGGGAGTTGACAAAAGAATGACACTTAAATGGATTTCTTTTTTCTTTATTCTTCTTTGATTCAGAAATATAAAAAAAAAAAAAAAATCTAAAAGAAAATTTTTGTAGAATGAGAGTTTCATGAGAGGGATGGGGAGTTGGGGACAAGTGAAAGATTCCAAGGAAGTTTTTGGGGAAGGAGTTTCAAGGGAGGGAGGGGAGACTAGTGATGGATCGCGAGAAGACAGGTAGGAGAGACGAGGGAGAAATTATTTTTAATTTTAATAATATTTTGCAATGACAAAAAATTAAAATTAAAAAGTGTCACATAACATATCAAATTGTCACGTCACATATCTGTTAAAGAAGTTATAAAGAAGTTATAAGTTATGAGAAATCTAAGTCTGCGATTTAGAACCATTTTCAAGAGTTTATAGATTAAATTGTCAACTCTTAGGGTATGTTTATATAAGGAGTGATTTTAGAAGAGGATATTTAAAATAATTGATTTTCTGGAATCCCCGCACAAGTTTTTGTTTAAAATATATAAAATAAGTTTTTGTTTGAAATCGAATAGCTTTCTCGCATTTAAATTTGTTTTCTTTCATAAATCACGGATGCAGTTATATGGAACAATTAATTTCAGTTTCAGTAACTTTATTTTAATTTAATGTTGCAATAAAAAGGAAAATTTATTACATATGTTATTTTAAGCAGTGAAAACATTTATAATTAATAAAGTTAATCCGCTTCTTGTGTATTATAAATAAGAGAGATAAACAGTTCAAAGTCCCAACAAACAATTATAAAATTCTACTTATTTTTTTGAATTATATATATGTTACTTGTTAAAAAAAAGTTTAAATATTATTTTGATTGTTATACTTAGTAATCCATGTAATTTCAAAATATTTTCGTGCTTATATTTTCAATTTTTGTTAATTTTAGTTTTCATACTTTTAAAACATCTATTTTGGTTCTTATACTTTTGAAAAGCTATTATTTTGGTCTCTAATTGAAAATTTTTAATACAATTTTTTATAACATAAAACTCTTTAACACAAAGTTATGACTGCATGTAATTAAATTTAGATGTTAAAACTACAATTGAATAAATGTGATGAAAATAAAAATAAAATAATCAAAATTGTTACTTTTTAAAAATATATAGACAAAATAGACATTTCAAAAGTACATGAACTAAATTGAACAAAATTAAAAGTACATGAGGATCAAAATAGTAATTAAATTAAAAAATGTAACACTTTTATTATTATTTTTTTTTTAGTACAAATGTAATACTTTTAGACCTAATATTTAGAAAATGAAATACATATTTCGCAATATTTTTAACTAAAAAGTTAATTTAATTAGTGTAGAAAATAGTTCCAATTTGGAAAAATCAATATGGGGAAAGTGGTGGGTAGGAGTTTGGTTGGGTGGGCGAACTTTCCCTTTAGCGCAAACACTAAACATTAGGGTCAATTCCAGCAAAAGTTTGCAAAAATTACACATTACCATTTAACCGATCTTCCAGAAATGGCCGTTTAATCTTCTAGTGGCTGTATGGTAATTAACCTATATTCCATGGCTATTTACATCTTTAACCCTCCATCGAAATGCAAGGTGTTCCAAAACTAATACTTCGGCGCGTAGTTGTTGCACTGACTGCTGGTTCACACTTTGGTTTCATCACCACTCCACTCCACTCCACTCCACACACATTTCCTCCGGAGATCCCAACGAGGTATCTGCTCACACTTTACTCATTTCCTCTTTATAAGAATCGAATCTGTTCGTCGCTTTCATTTCTGGCGACAATTTCGGGATTTCGTGCTGCTTCTGCGATTTTCTTTGTGCGGAGACCTCCCAGAGCTCTCATGGCGGCCTTCACCGGTTCAAACGCTGTTTCTTTTAGTAAGGCTGGAATCGTTGGTAAATTTGAAGGCTTCGTCGATCGTAGAGCCGGTCCTATTGAGCAGTGGTCTCCGATTTGTGGCGGAGCTGGATCGAATCAGGTCCGAGGTCGCTTCGGTCTCCAGTTAAGATCGAAGAGCTCTTCTGCTTCAACTGGTAACTGTTTACATTGTTTTGTAATTTATTCTTAGTTCGGAAAGATTTGACATCTGTTCTATTTGTGCTTGCGTGAGCTATTGGAAGTGAGACTGTAGGAGAGATTACGTTCATAATTTGTCATGGCAAGTGAGGACGAATGCTTGGCGCGTCTTGAAATTCTCAAGCGTTCTGCTTATGACCGTTAAAGGTTCTTGTTGTTATCGGTAGTCCTTGACGTCGGCCGCCTTTATTTTTATGGAAGTTAGTGTTCTAAGGAACTATGGCTAATGCTTTTGGAATTACGATCTCATTATCAAAATGGATGCGCAGGAATAAAGGCTCAGGTTGCTACAGCGGAACAAGCAAGCATTAAGGAGGGCAAACAAGTGGAAGCGCCTGTGGCTATTGTGACTGGAGCCTCGAGAGGAATTGGAAGAGCCATCGCATTGAGCTTGGGAAAGGCGGGTTGTAAGGTACCTATATTTTCTGATTTCGTATGAAGTTCTATTATTTATATCTGGTTTAAAATGTTGTACAAAATCAGATTTGAAAAATATGATCCTTGGACGCAGTTTTTTTGCTAGCATTCACTTTATGGATAAAATTTTATCTTAGTGAGTCCAGTTATTATATGGAGTTATTATGCTATATAAGCTGAAGTATTTCCCGTTTATGATTTGTTTTCTGAAGACGTCATCTGTCTAGTCAATTTTGGTATCATTATATCATTAATTCTGAATTTTCTATTAAACAATTTTTTGTAGGTCCTGGTTAATTATGCTAGGTCGTCAAAGGAGGCCGAGGAAGTTTGCAAAGAGGTAAATAACGCACCTATTTCAATTCTTATCTCTTGAATCGTATTTGCCCGTTCCACAAATGTTGTGAAGTATCATAGAATCTCCGGAGACTGTTTATCATGCAGAATTCTCACAAGATGCCGAAGCAACTTGGAAATTTCCCTACAGTTATTAGACGGATAACAAATCTGGTTACAGCTATAAATTAAGCATGCCATGCTTTTAGGTTTAAATGTGAAAGCTCATTTAGTGGTTCAATTTGCATTCAATTCTTATGATTGCTTGTAATTGATTCAAGTTCAATCCACAAAGTTTTGTGAAGCTATCAGTTATTCTCCTTTCTTATATGCAGAGAATGGAACCACTAAATTAAGGGAAATACAAAAAGTTGAAGTTGGTTGCCTTTCAAGAGGGAAGTGAGTGAGGCAACTTAATTAACCTATTTACTACCTCACTCACTTCACTCTTTTTCATTTTTTTTTTTCTGTTTTTTAAATAACACTTTGCTATTGCAAATGTTTCTCATAGTTTTAACAAGCTCCACATTTCATATTCAATACTAACAAAGTAATAAACCTATTTACTAATTAAGCCCCAATACTTGTATGCATACTCACTACAAGTCCCATCACCTTTCTAGATTCCATTACTCAAACATGAAACAATTCTTTTATGACGAGGCATCATTCAGTTGGCCATTACTTTTCTTCAACTCCATTCTTCTTTATCAACTAAGCATTGCTGCTCAATTCTTCTGGTGGTGACTTGGTGAATCATTTCGAAAAGATGATGATTAAATTCTCTTGTTACTTGCAGATTGAGGGGTTTGGTGGACAAGCTCTTACTTTTGGTGGAGATGTGTCAAAGGAGGCTGATGTGGATTCAATGATTAAGACAGTAAGCTACTTCACTTTTCTAACTAAACTAGTTTATACCATTTACTTGTTACTCATTTTCATGGTTGACGTTTGTCCAGGCGATTGATGCTTGGGGAACTGTTGATATTTTGATCAACAATGCAGGTATATAGAATTTTTCTTTTAACATTCTCCAGCTTCCTGGCACTTTTACTTAGTTATTTTTACCCAATACTTTCATCGAAATCAGGAATTACTCGTGATGGTTTGTTGATGAGAATGAAGACATCTCAATGGCAGGAGGTGATTGATCTGAATCTTACTGGTGTTTATCTCTGTACTCAGGTATGAATGTGTTGTTGCTTTAACAATGAGTTTGTGGTTGAAGTATCTTGTTCTTGAATAGAGTTTATTCCTTTTTGCAGGCAGCATCCAAAATTATGATGAAAAAGAAGAAGGTAATCTCACTTTTGTATTTTCCAACTTAGAAATAGGCAGCTGAGCTGATGAATCTTCTGCAACTCAAGATGCAATACGCTTTTCATTTTTACTATTAGAATATCTGTACATGTTTACAGTCAATGCTATAACGTGCCTCCATAGAATTTAGAAGCTCAAAATTTGTTAGAAATATATTCCCAATTCTAAGTAATTTTAGTTTTGAGCTGGGATCGTGATTCTTTGCTGAAGTTCAGAAAAAAGAATGAAAGGGGAAAAATGGAAACGTCCTACTCACATTGAGAGGTTTTATACAGGGAAGAATTATCAATATAGCATCAGTTGTAGGCCTTGTTGGAAATGTTGGGCAAGCGAACTACAGTGCTGCAAAGGCAGGGGTGATCGGTCTGACAAAGTCCGTTGCAAAGGAATATGCAAGCAGAAACATTAACGTGGGTTCTGCATTATCTAACTTCTTTAATAAGAATGCTCTCATATGCAAAATGCTAAATGCTAGAGGATAATGTGAACCATCATAATGAAATATCCTTCCAGGTTAACGCTGTTGCGCCTGGGTTTATTGCATCTGACATGACTGCCAAGCTTGGGCCGGAAATTGAGAAGAAAATTATGGATACCATCCCCTTGGGTGAGTCTGAGAAACTCATATATGAGATTGTCTGTGGTGATTCTGTCGATTCACAATAATTTGTTTAAAACCAATATATAATGATTGTAACCATATTTCAATTCCCCATTGTTTCAGCGAGGTATGGCCAACCTGAAGAAGTTGCTGGACTCGTTGAATTCTTGGCTCTTAACCCAGCTGCTAGTTACATTACAGGACAGGTGGGGAGAGTTCCTTTTTTCTTTCTCCTCTTGGTTTCTTAAAATAACTGTTAGCAATAATATAATAACATCATTCCTTTCTTTTTTTACATGCTTACAACGAGAGTTCCTATTTCATTTTGATAAATTAAATAAAATTACACTCTATATATATATATAGTGCATAACTTTAATATGTATTTTATATAGTATAAATATTACTTTTCTTGGTGTGTTTTATGTTACGTTTGAATTTAAACTTGGTTTGGACTATGCTATTTTTGTAAAATTTCAAACTTTACGCTATATTTGAAAATACACATTCATTTTATGCTATTTACGGAAGTACCTCATTTCATTTTATCCATGTTGAATGTTTCTGCAGGTTCTCACCATCGATGGGGGGATGGTTATGTAGGTCATGTATCGAATTTTCCCAACTAAGCCCATAAGAGAGGACCGTTCAGAGTTTAGATTAAGTGGCCGTGGAACTGCGGATTTTTTTACTGCTGGTTTTTGGATTCCCCTGTCGGATGATACACGTTGCTTTTCGCAAGTTTATGCCTTTTAATTTAACCCCAGATTTTGTTTGAAGCCTTTCGAGTTGCCTGCCATTATAATTACAGTTTAAGTTCCTCTCTACAGAATTTCTGACATTAATTAAATTTAGCTAATTAAGGGCAGCGATTTCTTAGTTCCATTTTTTGTGGCCAATATTCATGTTGCTGATCATTTCCATTATTTTTGCTATAAAGAAATTTCTAAATAGATCTATCTTTGTCAAAACAGACACCCCTTGATCTGGTAAGCGGCATTTCACCACTGCAAGCATTTAAATTTAGCCTGTAAATGCTAATATCAGTCTTTTTTTTCATTTTTGCCCAGGTCAGCTATTATCATTATGAACCAATCATTTGGTTCCTCTGTACACTGGTACTCACGTGAGGGCTTATTGAATGCCTTCGCAAAGAAGTCCAGCTGTGGAGATGGGCACTAGATTCTCTATAATGGTTTATATTGTGTTTAACATGTATGAATTTAAAAAAGTGTCCATTAAATACAATTTTGAGAGTTTAAAGATTAATAATTTAACGGTTAAAAATACTATTTTAATCTTTTTACTTCCGAACTCTTTTATTTTAAGCTCTATAATTTCAAATGTCCAAACTTGACCTCTGTACTTTCTTCAATGATAAATCTTAAAATTGGTTCAAAATTTTGTAATAAAAGTTAACCATAACTAAATTTAGATATTCGAAAGTACTACTAAAAAGAGTATTTGAATCCAAAATTATATTTATATAAATTTATTTGATTTTTAAGCGATATATGATTTGAAAGGTCACATCACACACGTCATGAACAAGAGCTTCGAAGTTTGAGTTGGAACTGAAAAACGATAGGTTCCTCCGTTCACATGAAGAAATCAGTGCCCAGTCAGCGTCTGGAAGTTGGAGATGGCAGCAGATTTGGGTGGAAAATTCGAAGACAGGAAAAAAGTGGCAAGGCATTTGCAATCTCAGCCATCAGTTATGGTTGCTTTTGTCTTGTCCCTGGAATAAGAGAATAGATTCCATTGCAGCACATCAGAGAGAGAAAAAAAGCTTATCATTGTGTTTTGTTTTGCCTACTGATGCAAAGTTGTATGTACAGTCAATGAACATCAAGCTACTAGAGAACCAAAGTAGTTGTGGTTCTGATTTTCCCTCTTGCAGCTCGTCGGGTCTTCCACGGCAGTGGCGACACCTTGCGCGCCGAAACAGAACAACTGGTTCATCAACATCTTTCTGTTAAATGAGTCTTGTCTGAACTTCGTAATTGGCACTTTTCTCTTGGAGCATGAGACTCCACCAATGGCAATGCCAATGCCACCCGTTTCTGCTTGAGAAGACATGGGCGACCCCAAAAATGGACTCGGTGGCGATCGGGATCGAATGGCTAGCTTCGGCGTGGCTTGGATTACGCCGTGCATCAATCCAGCAGCGAATTTTTTCTTGGTTGATGGGCTTGGAGGAATGCTCATGATTGGAACTGTTGTTCTTTTGTTGTGTGGAAGACATGACATGTTTGAATATCGACGCCGAAGCGAAATCGAATTCAGTTGTGAAGTTCTTGATGTATCAAACAGAACTGAACAATCATCATCTGCCCAGTCTGTTTTGGTAGGCTTTCTCTCTTTACTATTTGCCCAGCGCAGGAAGAACTTCAGGCGTTTGGCTGCATGATTTACAGAGCTTGGTTTCTTGTCTGATGAATCCACTGAATCACATTCCCCATTTTTGTCTGAGCGAAAATCGAAGGCATCGCCTGCTTCATCCCGAGTTGCATAAGACGCATTTTCAATACCTGTGTACAAGAATATCTCTGCATCTGGAATCCTGAAAGAAGTTCCAGGACTACTTCCAATGCCCTGCATTTTCAAGTGGGAAAAGGAAGCATTTGTTTCCATATAATCACAATGATTCGAAATCCCTCCAGCGAAACCGAATCGCTTGATCAAAATCTCCAAAGATGGGGATCGAGGCTGTTGTTTGAGGAGATCAAGCGGGGTCAAGCCATCCTCATCAGTAATGTTCAAGTTTATTGATGGAACAGACATAAGAAGCTCCACTAATTCACACTGAACATTCTCCGCTACCGCCACGTGAAGCGCGGTTTTTCCATCATTGTTCCTGATGTTGATTATTTCTTGCACATCCATCAACTCACCGTGTATCAGACGACCCATGAGCTCGATCTGCCGATCCAATCTTCGAAACCCCGGGGTTCGGAAACCAGCCACAGCCAGATGAAGAAAAGTGTCTCCATAGTAGTTTAACAGAGAAGTTAGGGAAGGGCATTCATGAATTACAAACTCCACCACAGGCAAGTGACCCCTGTATGCAGCCACATGCAATGAGGTGTTTCCTTGGCTATCGGTGTTGGAAATGATATCAAAAGAAGCCACAAGATTCTTCACCACCTGTAAATGTAATGCAGTCAAAAGTAAGTTCAAAACATGTCAGCTTTAAGGGCTGCACAGTTCTTAATGAATATCATCGGACAAGACAATCTATGTCAGCTAGAGGAGACAAGACAAGAAATCCAACCAAGCACAAACTTCAAAGACACGGAATAACAAGAAAAGAAGCAGGGGGTGTATTGTGTGAGAGTTTGAGTTTGGCTTAAAAGATGTCAAACTCATGTTTGTTCGACAAACTCATGGATTTCAACAGTACCCGAACTTACTTCCTAAACTCCACTCATTCCTAGATCTGCACCCCAAACACAGGCGCCCTAAACTTTCCGCGTCCTAAAAATTTCGGTCAATGTATGGAATTGACAGGAAAGTAAGCATAAAACTCCAAGATCTGACCTCAATCTGTCCTCTTCCAGCAGCAGTATGGAGAATGGTGGATCCCTGAGCGTCCCTGTAAATCAGAACATCGGGGCAGTCCCCAATAAGCGCTGTCATCATCTCCAAATTGCCTCCTCTGGCAGCACAATGGATTGCCCTGTTAATCATCTCCCATCTGAAGGCCAAAGGCATCTCCATCTCACTTTCATCCAACGCCTCATCCATTGATTCCTCTCCACAGCTTGGCCAAGACCTTAAAGAAAGAGCAAAATCCAGCAGAAGCCTAAAGACTTCACAGTTCTTGCTCCTGGCTGCAGCATAAAGAATGTCAGTAACCCCATACTCTCCCTCTCCAAAGACCAGAAAAGGGTCTTTCTCAAGCAGTTCCATGACAAAATCCATATCCCCAGCTGAGGCAGCAGTGTACAAAAGCCAGCCGCCATAGCCAGCACGAATGAGCGAATTTCTATTACCCCCTTTCAGCTCCCCTTCGAGGAGGAGCTTTTTGGCAACATAAGAGCGGCATTTGGCTACATCTTCGAAGTGGGCTTCATCGTCCCACACGGTTTCGAGGCGGCGGATTCGCCGCAGAGAAGTGAGTTTGATGAGGAGATTTGGGTCCAAGTACAGAAGCTCTCTAACGACGTCGTAGAAGCCGTTGGCCGCTGCCCAGTCGATGGGCGTGGCGTACCACCATTGCTCCCCTGTGCTCTCCCATCGAAGAGGGAAAAACAAGGGAGGCGCCATTTTTGCTCAAAACCCACCTACAAATGTCTCGGATATAATCGAAATTGACAGACCCAGAAAGCGAAATTTTCAGAGGAACACCAAAAAGGCCAAAATGTCAATTCCTTTCCAAAAGGGGGAGTAATGGGGGGAAAGCTGGCTGAGCTGGTAGCAATATTGAAAACAGTGAATCCGAATCAAATCAACAATGAGAAGAAGAAAAAGAAATGACCCATTAACATGTTGGCGGAGAAAAAGGACGATCGAATGAAGCCAAGAAACTAAGAAATGACGATTAGAGAGGGAGAAATGAGAATTTTGCAGTGTGTAGAAAGTTAGAAACCAACAAAACCAAAAATGTGCTAACTGGGGCTTTATTTGAGTGGGAAATTACAAAAAGTTGAGAAAGCGATTTGCCTCGAATGGTTCCAAGATTCCCCTGCCTCGTGACGGTGAGAGAGAGAGTGGCTTTTCAACAGTTCAACCGCTGCCATTCACAAAGACAAACAGACAGGTACCAGAAAACAGCCATCATTTAAAAGAGAGAGATCCAAAAAATATATATATATATATATATATATTTTCATTTAAAAGAGAGAGATCCAAAAWATATATATATATATATATTTTTTTTTTCTTTTTATTTTCTTGGAATTTGGCTGTGTTGATGATCATTAATGGATGTTTTGGAAAGTGAAATGAAAATCTGAAGTTTTCTTTTTTTGGGAGCGGTAGTGTTAATGGGATGAACACTAATTTAGTTTGAGGAGGGACATATTGATATAGAGGAGGAGGGTGGGTCTCACTCTCACCCATGTTCTTGCCTGCTGCTTCCTAAGACTCACTATTATTTTCATTTCATGTCGGTGAAAAGATTTGTCTTTGATGAAAAGAGGACACTTTTCACATAATTTTTAAATTTAAATTGTTCAAAAAATTGTTTGCAAAATAATTATTAAAAAATAATAATAAAAAAAAGAACACTCGCAAGTCACACCCTTCAAGTTTCCAAGCATGGGCTAATTAATATTACTTTCTTTTATTTTATAACGAATTAAAAATAAAAAATTTAAACGAGGCATGGGTTTTTCTTAAAGTTTAATAAGTATTGGGATGGAGGGCTCCTGGAGCAGCTGAGTTAGCAAGAACTTGAGTCTGAGTTAGCAAGAACTTGAGTCTCCTATTCATATTGACGTATAGGTCTCAATTTCGAGCATTCTAGTGAGGTTAATAAAAAAAAACTATTCAGAGCGATGCCTAGAATTTCATATGTCCGGCATCTTAAATTAACCACGTTTATTTCGTAGGAAAATTTATAAAGATATCCGAGAATATTTAGATAGTCACATTTCTTTTGTAAGATTTATTTTAAGAATGTGTTAATAAATTGATAAAATGTTCTAAAAATGCTCTTAATATTCATATTAGTTTAACGTATTTCAATTTTAACTTTAATAGTTTTCCAAGAATACAACTGTGTTTCATAAGTGTATCCAAAACTCGTAAAATGTCTCTCGTACAGGCATCCTAGGATAGTTGGACTTTCAAGTTTCATAACAGTTGAAGACAAATGGTGTATTATTGCACCAATTGATATGACCAAAACAAACGTGAATACACAAAAATAACGAAAAGTATTGCCTCAAGACAGATTTAACCCCCAAACTTGAAATAACAAATTAACGAGCAACCTTCACACGGGCATATCAAAATTCTCAGATATCCTACATTCCCGCTAAACAAACGTGGGAATCCAGATGCAAAGTTCAACGGGAATTTTGGATTCCCACAAAACAAACAATTCCCTAATGTTTCTCGTATTCGAACTTTAAGGCGACAGGGGAACAAAACTCCGAGTACCAACTATTAGGAAGGGAAAAAAAAGGTTTTGGGATTTGCTAAACTATGCTAGATAGCCTAGATCTGGTGAAAATTCTAAAGGAAGGGTTGAGGGTTTATGGTTATTTGTGTGTGATTACTTTACAAAAGCTGTCCGTATTTTGATGATTGGCATCCCTATAGGAAAAAGGTAAAAATAAGAAGCATGCAAATGCGTGTCCCACCCTGCAATTATTTGATTCACATAATTGATAATCCTGCACCTTCTCACAAGTGAACACAATTTTTTAATATGTTCCATTTACAAATAAGATGTATGTAAATCCAAAATTAAGAAATCGGCTCAATAATTGATAAATTACTCCAACACTCAAAAATGTCCCTACCCAAGAACCAAAGCGTCTTGTTTGAAGAAAAAATAAAAAGCAAACTTTATAGTAGTGGCCAGTTAAGATTGAAATCATGCTTCGTATATACTATATATTAATTTTTATAAATTACGAACTTATACATTATAAATACATACTACATAAAGTTGGATTTATTAAAACCTTTAAATACTTCTGTAATATGAGTGATTTAATATCTTACAAAGGTGTAAACTATTTGTAATTTTAACACTTTTTGTTCCCATTCCACATATAAACAAACAGAACAACTCCACCTTCATCTTAATCACGTGATTTTTATTATTTTTGTTTAGAAAAAAGACAAAAAAAAAAAAAGGCTGGATGTTGCACATGGTTGAGTTGAGTTCTGAGACATTGGATCCGGAGCTTCGATCAAAATCTTCAACAAATTCAGTCAGACTCAATTTCTTTTTTCTTTTTTTTTTTTTTAAGCTCTCAATGTCTTATTTGAACGTTTTTTTTTCCTTTTTTTTTTAGCTCTCAATATCTCATGTGAACGTTTTTTCTTTTTTCTTTTTAGCTCACCCTACCTCCTTTCTTAGCTAACCTTTGTCTCATGAGAGTCCATTGCTAGATTGAGATATGCTAGGTGGTGAGGACCCATTTTCTCGTTGGGGTTCTTAGGAGCTTCTTGTTCATCCAAAATGTTGGCATGGGATTTCGGCAATTTCAACTAACCCTTCTCCGACCCTTACTGCCCAACCCGAGAGCGGACAACTAATGCATTCCACTTATTGAATAGGGTTCTATGGCCATCAAGCACATCCGGCAAGGATCAAAGGAGATCTCTACGAAGACGCAAGCATACATTTCATGTTCATTCCTCTGACGTTCAACATATAAAGGTGAGAATTCAAACTTACGACATTTTGATCAAAGATATATATCTTAACCAATTAAGCTTAAGCTTTAGATGGTCTATAACTTACTTATATGTTGCCTATAAACAAAACTCAAAATTAAATCAACCATTTGAAAAAAGAAAGAAAGAAAAACTCAATCCCTTGAACAGATTATTAATTGTCTATTAGTAACTGTTCAAAGAGTAAATATAATTAGATAATAGCATCTCCTCTTATAAATGATAGATTAGAATCCTTTTAATTGGTACGTTCTTATATTATTTTTTATTTTTTAAAACACCACATCACAAATGAGTGAGAATTGCCTGCGAAGAGGGAGTAGGGTGTCTTTAACCACTCATGCTCGAAGTTTTTTTGGATCTTAGGTACCACTACAAATCTCTTTATAATCTACCATGCTTGTACCTAGAAAAAGGGTATTAATTTAGATTTAAAAAAAGGGTGTAAATGGTGTGAATGAAAGGCAGCAGAAAAGTCAAAAGATATATTAGGCATAGAGACGCCAAATAAGGAAGGAAATAAGTTGGCAAACTTAGACGGCTATTGGCTGCCCCTAATTTCTGACCCCTCTTGGTTCTTTGCATTTCCCTTCCCTTCCCTTATAAATTCACACAATCAAAAAACATGCCTCACCCGCTGCTCATATTTCTCCACGAGAAGACTCATTCTCTTCTCTCTGCTCTGCTGCCATGGCCGCCACCAACAGATGGTTAAAGCCTGAGGTTTGGTTTTTTTCTCTTCTCCCTTTCCTTTTCCTTTACTTTCTGTTTGGCTGCTGAGAAAAAAAAAACATGAAGAAAACAATAACTTATCTCATCAAAATCTTGCTTTTGTTGAATATTATGTGCAGGTGTATCCTCTCTTTGCTGCAGTTGGTGTGGCTGTTGGCATCTGTGGGATGCAGCTTGTTAGAAACATAACCACCAACCCTGAAGTCAGGTAAATATCATCGAAATGTTAATATTTTGATCAGTAAAAAGAGGGATATTTCCTGTTCAGAAATCAGAATTGTTCTGATTGTTGTGGACGAATATGGCAGGGTTATCAAGGAGAAGAGAGCTGCAGGAGTGCTTGACAACTTTGAAGAAGGTGAAAAGTATGCTGAACATGGCCTCAGGAAGTTCCTCAGAACACGATCCCCTCAGATTATGCCTTCCATCAACAAATTCTTCTCAGATCCAAACTAAATCCAATTCTGCTACTGACCATTCAGATTAGCTGTTGATTGCCTGCTGAATTTGTTGTCGATGCATAACTCGAGTTGTTTCAAATAATGAAGTGCTATTGAACAAATGGAAGTTTTTTTGTTCTGTTGTGGCTGGAAAAGACGAGTGTAGCACCACCCACATAGCATACCTGAGATATTAACTCATCTTTTTCTACAACTATGGAATCATGTGTTCTAGTTTTAAAGAGGGATACCGGACCCGAACGTCAACATTTCCCCAAACTTCTTTCGTCTGAGAATCACTGAGCATCCAAATTTCCAAACATCTGGATGTTGAGTGTATCAAGATTCCCTGCAGATAAATAATCTCTCAAATATCAATCAACGCAGATGGTATGGTAGTTTAACATAATGATCCGCTAATAAACTGTTATATTCCAGAGATACGTACCCAAATGCTAGTCAGGAATTAAGAAACTGTTGGTTCACTTGAAAGGCAACGACGACGAGCAGTAATCATCGGCTTGGTTTAAGGAAAAATAAACAAGTAATGTAATGGTATCATTTTTCACATGTTTATATTTATCGACATCTTTGAAAACATGCATAGGCACTGTACAGATGAGACAATACTACCAACAATCCATATTATATATACAGAGAGAAGATAACTGATAACCTGTCAAAAAATGCACAAGCAGTGTCTGTGCATAAAGGCCATATTTGTTTACATGGTTGATTTAGTGTATGGATTACAAGTAAAGATGGAGTGCTGAAACCCAAGTCCCACAAAGGGCACTAAAGCCAAAATTCATAACATATTGGCATAACTGTGTACTTGCTCAACTCACTCCGCGATATATCGCACCAGGACGGAGATCATCCATATTATCGATGTTTCTATACCCATCAAACTCCCGTAGGCATGTCCAGCCCCGACGAGCTAAAAACTCCCGGTAATCATCTTCAACGTAAAAAATTTTATCTTCAGTATGTACTGGTAAGTGGTCAGATTCATCATAGAGGCAGATTTTAACAGCCAACCCTGAAATTAGAAGTTCAATGGCTCTTACATGCATCACTTTAATTCAAAATGTGCAGCATGGTGCTATAATCATTACGAGAATCATAACAGTCAAGAATAATACAAAAAGAGGTACCTTCATCGAGGTGAAGAGTGTAGTTTCCTAAAGGCATGTCCCGGTCCAGACTTCTGACAACCTGGTCCTCATCCTCTAACCAAAATGCCCGTTTAGTTCTTAACCTAAAAGCAGATTTAATTGCCTCCTTGATGGCATCTGAGGTGCCATCAATACCGATTCTTCTTGTGTAATCCCCCCACTTGACTGATATAACTCTCCCGCCAAATGCCTGACTCTCACCACCTGCCAAGAAGGCGGTAAATAGACAGAAACTGAAACCATTCGAGATTCATAAGCAGAGCATCTCAAACAATGGCAGGAGAGTTATTTTGGTACAAGGCACGTTTACCAGAATTCAGAAGTGAATCTTGATGCCAATATATTTGTATAATATAAATGAAGTGTTAAACCAATCACTAGAATACAGTCATCAACTACAAAGTTATGTATCATCATATAACAGGACACGTTCCAGTGCATTCAAAATTGCAGTCTCGAAATACTACAGGCATTTAGCATATGAATCACAAGTGGAATCTGAAAAAAAGGCGAGAGTGGCTTTGATACAATTCTTCTGATTGAAATGCAAAGACGAAACTTAATACAAATATTGAGGATGCTTAAATACAGGGCCTAAATGTACCAAGAGTCTCTCAAAACCTAAAAAGAAATATCAATGTAATAGGACTCTGTTCCAAAACATTCAAAACCATTGAATTGTGGTTATGCAGTACTACCATTTCCAGGTGCCTCTCTCCAATTCCATGGTGGAATACCCGTCGCAGCAACTGCATCAGCAGCTGTGATGGCAAGGGGATGTCCATCGTGATCTAACTGTCTTTCAAGATTGAGCGATGGTCTGCCACCAGCTGCATGCAAGGAAATTTTGAGGGAGAACTTTTTTTCTTCTTTATATTAAGAACATGATATAAAATGTGAATTGTCACTATAAAAATAAATTGCTTATTTGCAATCCCATAATTGGAAACTATGAATTACATGAAAACTCGTATTAGAGGTTACTCTTAATTGATCAATATTATAATCTTGCAATAACAAACTTTGAGTCTACACTTTTAATCTATTTGTGGGCAGGGTTATTTAGACAATATATATCATAATGTGTATGATGTGGTTACACCCAAAAGAAAATAGAATGTAATCTTCCAGATGAACAGGAAATACAAGAAACTCAAATGAAGATGCAACTTTGACAATTCCTTAATCTTAAAACCGTCAATTTGGACACAAGAGCATTAAATATAAAATTTACACCCCCGGACTAGGTAAGACAAAAAGATTTTATTGGTTTATCGATAAGAAGGGTGAATTGTTCAAAAGATAAAGACCTAATTGATATTCCCTAATCGACTGCTTCAGTCAACAGGCAACACAAAAAGCAAGATACGTTCAACATATTTTTATAAACTGAAATTATATCCTGATCATAGACCCATAGGAACCAATTCAAAATGCACACGAGAAATCAATTGCATAAAAAATGGCTTGTTCAATCAAAGTCATATTCTAAAGTAGTTAATGGAGTTTATTTAATGAATCAATGTTCATACAGAATAGTAAGAATTGTAATCAGGATACAGCTTAGAACTTGTTACAGCCACTAATAGCTTAGAATTGTAATCAGGATTGATGTACAGCCACAATATGATTCCACTGTGTAGCAGATCCACCAGCTTAGACTAGTTACAACCACTAATATGATTCTTGATGTACAATCAATTCCATGTCTTTCTTCCTAGCATATCAATAATTCAATATTTACTTGATGACATGATCAGAAATGCTAACTAGCTATTTTAAGTTTCCACAAGCTTTATAAATATGTGGTGCATACTAGAATCTCCCTCCAAAATTAGATAGCGAATCCACTAAGTGCAATTTTCTTAGCCATTTTCTATTTCTTCATTTGGTGGACAAACAGTAAACAACAGAAGAAAAATGAAAGTTGAATGATGAATACAAAGCTATCATCAGCCACAAAAACTCAGATGACAAGAGGAGCAAATGTTTGTAAAGAAAAAAGTGATACAAATAACATCTTAATAACAGCAAATAACAAGTATGTCGTACCTTCAACAGGTCCGAACGATAGACCATTATCCTCAATTCCTGCATTGGGATAAAATTACAATGGTCGTCACAGTCCTCTTGTGACCCCAGAGCCAGACTAATCATAACCCTACTGCACCTACTATTTGCCCACCATATTTCACGTACCTAACAGACTTAAAGAGTGCAGGCACCAAAAATAGCAATTCGAAAAATTTTACCTGTTTAAGGAACAAATACAGAAAACAAAGATGATTCCCCACCCCCCAAGAAGAGTAAGAACAACAAAATTTGTTATATTTCATAAATCAGAACTCTGCATTTGAAAGAATAAGCTTGGTGAGAACCATAGCGTCGAGGAATTATATACAAAGAAAGTAGACCAAAATATTGCGGCTAACGAATTCTCACGAATAATGAAATTGTGCTTCCATTTCTCCCTCTTTTAATTATGACAATTGCTTCCTTTTCCTTTTTCTTTTTTCTAGGGAGGGGTGTTAAAGCCTTAAAGCGAGCCGGATATTACACTTAGCACTACCCCCTTCACCCTCCCAAAGATAAGAAACGAAAGTTACCTTTGTCTGAGAATTGCATATATGAATCAATCTTGGGTGGTGTGGGGCTCTTGTAATGCGCACTCTTGCTTCTCTCCTTCAAGATTTCTTCAATCTCCTTGTAATACGACATCTTGGCAGAGCCACTTCCCCTGTCATGGTGCTTTGCCTTCTTGAACTCCTTGAGCAAGTTCCTCCACTTATCAGTACACATAGTCGGGGAGCGATCGAAGCCCCTTTCCCTCATCTTGGAGGATATCTGCTCCCACAAATGCTTGTTGGATTTGGAGGTATTGAACAAGCCATCCATCTCCCGGCGTAGGGAAATTAAGCTCCGAGTCTCGTCCTGAACCCAAGTCTCCGCCCGTTTCTTCGGAGCCTTGACTTCGTGATCCTCCCCACTGCTATCGCCGAGCATAAGTTGGTGCTGCGGATGAGTCTGCTGCTGCTGCTGCTGCTGCTGATGCTGGTGAGGAGGAAGATGGTGGTCGCCATTAGAGGCGACCTCGATCATCATATCTCTGCTACCTTCTTCCTTGTAAATATCGATTGGGCGAGGCTTATCAGGCAAGTACATGTCTGGATTCGTGAAATTTCGAGAAAGCTGGGAGTTCGTAGAGCGAAGGGTGAGCCCACGTTGTGGCCTGTGGGAGGGTACGAGATAAGAAATGGTGGCTTAAATTTTCATTTCTCTTTTTTCTTTCTTCCTGAGACTGTAAGTTCAGAGTCCTTTTTCCGCAGGCCGCAATTCTGAGGGTTCTCTTCTTTAGCTAATGAAGAGAGAGACAGAGAGAGACGAAGGTCGCGTGTGATGCCGGAGAAACAGGGAATAATTGTACGGATAAAAATGAGAAATAGCAAAATTCTGAAATTTGTAGACTCGTTTAGAATTTAAGATGGTTTTTTCTTTTTTTTTTTTGGGTCCAATTTTGTACTTGGATTTAGTTTAATTGGGTCGAGTGGTAATTAAAGCTACTAATCTCTCTCATTGAGCTTGAGTTTAAGAAAATTGGGGATTTAAACATAAATGATGTTTCAACTGGTTCAATAATAATTCAAGACATTTCTTACTAAAAGTTTATGAGTTCAAATCTTTACTTTCATATACAGCATCAAACAAAAAAAATCATATTCTTGTCTAATAGTCCCATATATAAGGGAATTATACCAATTTTACCGTCGGAGATTAAGCAATTAATACGAATTTTCATATAGAAGCCGATAGTGGCAACAAAATAAAATAAAATTATTTGGAGTTTTTTGCACACGCGTTGTTAAAAATCGGATAGTTTAAAATATAATGCTGTTTAAATTGTTAAATAAAAATGTACACCCTTTTTTTTTGACAGAATGAAGTACAACTTGCAAATATTTATTGTTAAAAAATATCAAATTTTGAGCTCGGATATAATTCTTATCTACCTTTGCCCGTAAGAAGTATAATATTTCACGTATTATCAATATTTTATGACTTTTTTGTTTTCTTTTGAAAAAAAAAAAATTGCATGACTTGAAGGCGGTACGAACCCAACTAAAAAATAAGTTTGATGGGTTAAGTTGACTTAAATCAACGACTACACAATTTCAAATAAAATTTTTAGATTTAACATAGATGATTGATTGAATTGACTATGATATACTGAAAAAAAATGAGTTTGATTGCGGTATATTAAAGTTTTTTGTAATATAAATCAAATAATCCTTTAAAATACTGTCATTCAAACAAGAAAATGAATGGTGGACTCCTACACTTACGTCCATAAATATGATACATTTACGTGAGGAAATTAGCACACAAAATGAATGAAACCAAAAATTATAATGTCATAGTCCATATTAAATTAAAAATTCATATAAAATATGAAGATAATATATATATATATATATATATATATATATATATATATTGGATAAATATGATGCATTTATGAGATGAAGTTAGCATTAAAACGAAAAATTACAATATTATGGTCCGTATTAAATTGAAAATTCAAATAAAATATCGAGAGAATATATATATATGATAAATGTGATGCATTTACTATATGAAGTTAACACACAAAATTAATGAAATAAAAGATTACAATGTCACGGTCCATTTCAAATAAAAGATCAAGACAACAAATCTTAAACCACATATAAGATTGAGAAAAATTGTGTAAATTTAAAATTTAAAAAAAAACCGAAAAAGTTAATCACGATCCCAACTAAATCTAACATCGAAAAAAATGAGCGAATAAATACAGAATATGTAACAATAAAAAAAACGTAAATCTAAAAAGAATTTGAACTTAAGATATTTAAGAATACTTTTAATTTGAATTAAGATATTTAAGAATACTTTTAATGTAATTTATAAAAAAATATTAATTACATGATGACATTGGAAATAATATAAAATAACTATTGAAGATCAATCGAAAATATATATAGATGAGAAAGAGAAAAAACGATGAATCGAAATAAGAGAGAAATGCTATGAAAATATATATATATATATATATATATATATATGTGAGAGAGAGAGAGAGAGAGAGAGAGAGAGAGAGAGAGAGAGAGAGATATTTATTGGTTAAACCAAAAATAAATAGGAAAAAATGGGATAAAAAAGGCTGTGTAAAATGTCAATACGAACATTCCTTCAAACAATATATCGAGCAAGTTTTGCAGACGGCCCAAACTTTTGACGGAATCCCTCCCCCTCTACCCTGGACCTGTACACCAAATTCCATTGCCCCGCATCGGCGCAATTAGCAGCTTGAACTTGAAGATTCATTTCTATGGCGCCCGTCTCCTCTCTTGTTTGACCTGCTGAAACGATGAAGCTCGCTGCTGTCTCTTTCTCTCAATCTGGAGCATCCCGAGGTTTTCTTCACGGAGGTCCCTCTTTCAATCGTTTGCCGCGCGTCGCTTCATTATCAGCTCCCCGAGTTGATGCGTTCCGCTCAACTTCTCTTTTGGGTATTTAATCAAACACCTTATCTCTACTCGCTCCATGCCATTATAAGTATTTTGGGTATTCTCGATTTGGGGCTTTGCTTCCCGTTTTAAAACTACATGCCTTTGGCTAATTCTTTGCTTATTTTCGGAGATAGGAAACAAGTTATTCTGCTTGACATTGTTACTTGAAGGGTTCTTGTGATGAGCATTTTCCTTCTTATCTCCTGTTTTTTAAACATAATCTTGCTATCAACAATTTCTTCCTTATGAATTTATGTCGGACTCTAGAACCTTTCTCATGTCCTAACCATGTTTTAAAAACAACAAATTGGTTTCAATGGTTACAAGAAAGTAGAAAATAGAACAAAAAGGAAAATACCAAGACTAGAGTTTACTTTTTGCCAAGAGAAAAGAGAGAACTGGCTACAGAGGCGATTTATTCCTCTAATTTATGTGGGTTTTCAACTTACAACTGTGTTGTGTCGGTTGAATAAGAAATTCTACCTTAGTTTTGCTTTTAGGAATGCATCCAACATTATCTGCATTTGGGACATTAATCACTCTATGTTACTGTGAGGTCCATTTGTGCAATTCTTTGCATTATACTTTGGAGATTTGTGTTAAGGTCATTTCCAGGTTCATGATCATGTAAAATGGTGTACAAGATTCCTTTCCCTGTTTTAGATTGTTTCCTTGCACACCAAGTCACTTTTCACTGAAAAAAGAGGTAGAAAATAGAAATTAACTATTTTATTGGATAGAACTTAGAAGGTAACAAGCTCATCAACACCGTTGCTATAACAATTGTTTGTATTATCTTGAGTGCTTATAACCAGCAGAAACTGTCTAGGCTTATTTTTGTCGCTTTTCACTTCATTTACACATATAACATGCTAGCATTTTTATCTCAACTTCTAGCAGTCTGTGGGTTTTGCAGGACGCTTCATCAACGAAACTCTTCAATCAATACTACGATGTCAACGATGAGCAAAACCTCCATTTCTAGAATCTGCTGTAGACACCCTGGACTGAATGCGAGACTCTCCTCAAAACGAAAGCATGGGAGTGGTTCAAGAACTTTTTCAACATGCACCTCATCGTCGAGCTCCACAACGAACCCTCTGGTCACCCGTTTCCCCTCAGCTTTGATTTTGGCCTCCCAGGTCACCCCATCTGATGCACCTCAGCGTTCAGAAGAATGGTTTGCACTACGGAGAGACAGGTTGACTACAAGCACCTTCAGCACAGCCTTAGGCTTCTGGAAAGGAAACCGTCGCTTCGAGCTATGGCATGAGAAAGTGTTTCCTTATGAGATTCAAAAAACGGAAGCATCGCAACGGTGTGCCATGGAGTGGGGTGTGCTCAATGAAGCAACTGCAATTGATCGGTACAAAAGCATCACAGGCCGAGACGTAAGCTTGTTAGGGTTTGCAACTCACTCAGAACAGCAATTCGATTGGCTCGGCGCCTCCCCCGATGGCCTATTGGGATGCTTTCAAGGAGGAGGGATCCTGGAAGTAAAATGTCCATACAACAAGGGAAGGCCAGAGAAGGGACTACCCTGGTCAACAATGCCATTCTACTACATGCCACAGGTTCAGGGTCAAATGGAGATAATGGACAGAGAGTGGGTGGATCTATATTGCTGGACACCAAATGGAAGCACAATATTTCGTGTGTGTCGGGAGCGGGGTTATTGGGAACTGATGCGTGAAATGTTAAGGGAATTTTGGTGGGAAAACGTCGTTCCTGCGAGAGAGGCTCTATCTTTGGGAAGAGAGGAAGAGGTAAAGTCATATAAGCCAACATCCACGCATAAGCAGACTGGACTAGCAATAGCCAAGAGCATCAAATTAGCAAGCGAGGCCAAGTTGATGTTTAGGGAGATAGCTGGACATGTTGAATTTTACCGATGATTTTTGGCTTCGGCGTATTGTATTTGACCCCTCTCATTTTGTCTGGGAATCCATTTTCCCCACATATTTGTTCCATGATTTACTGATTGATGATATTTAATACACAGCCTTTGATTTGGCGTCTGCATCCATGTTAATGTTGGCAATGACATTCAATATTCCACACCGGTTAGGCTGGTTGGCACCTAGAAAATGTTTTTTAGAACAAAGTTTCCATTTCATAAATCATAACCATAAGATACAGGCCTGAGGAAGTTCCCCGGTGATAATGACGCTAAAACTGGTCTAGCAAGAGAAAATACGACTTTCACAGATATAATAACAATGTTTATTGTTTATTTCATATATTTCAGAATCAGAACAAGCAAAAGTACTGCCGGATGAAGAAACGAGGATCCAAGCACCAAATCAAATTGCGAGGTGAGGTCTGGTGCGCGGCTTGAAAGGGCACTGGAAGCGACTTTGATAAATTGCATAAAACACATGATAAGGAACTGATCCCCCCATTATTCGGGCTGTAACAGAGAGGTCACATCCTAAGAATGCACATGGCCAATAAAAAACTCCATCCAATAGAACCTCATAGATCAACCGCATCTTAATTCATGAAACTTCTCGCATTATGCAGATACCAGGACTTGGAAATCGACCAATATCAGCCTGTGTTCCCTTCTTCATAGCCTCAACTGAGATTAGACAAGGCAGAGTGCATCCATGTGAGATTAACACCGTATTAGATAAGACATCCTCCCCTTGATTTCTACAATATCTCCACCCCATCTGGCTTCCAAGTAAGACTGGTACTGATGGAGCCGAGCATTACCATATCTACACCATTCATCATTAACAGTACGATTAAGATACTACCCATAGATCTTCATCTAAGCTCGATTGACTCTACATGCACATGAAAGGATGATAATGAAACGCCTTCAGCAGCACAAGAGACTGTTCGTCTTATTCCATGCCTCACTGATTTGCATTTACTATTTATTCTCTTGAAGTTCCCCCTCCGACACTGGATTATTAACAGTGCAGCCTGCCAAAAACAAAACCTGAAGGAGGCTGACTCTAGAGCCAAGATTAAATAGAACAGGAACCATAAACTTGATGATTCTAGCATTCTTTTTTAGTTTTGTTTATAATCAAGGCAATTGAGCAACTCACATCCATGATCCACACCAAGAATTATCAGAAGTCAACCCGCATTACTCCTCTAGCCATGAAGATAAAACCCATCTCTCTGTTCCTCAAGATAAAATGGTGCAGGCTGATCCTCCTCCCAATCCCGTTTCTCTTGACATGGCTTCCAGCAATCTGAGCAGAGCAATTCCAAACAAAATGTTTCCACATACTCATTTTCATTGATGCATCGACCACACTGGACACACCGCAATATACAAAGCGTACATGCCCTGCATGCCTGAGTTACATGTTCCTTTCCCTGACAACCCTCTATTGGGCAATCATAAACAAGTCTCAGATTTTGGCATCTTGGACATTTTTCAATATCAATAGGACGGTCATCATCACAAGACACATAAAAGTTTCCCCTGTGATAAAAATGTGGCTTGTAAGAATTTTGCTGCATAGCGCTGCGTTCAGTTCCCAATAAGAACTTCAACTCTTCAAAATGCTCGAGGGTCAACCCATATAATCCACCAATTCTTAGATGTTTCACTCCTTGGGTACCAATCAGCTTGAAAGCCCTCAAGCTACTAACAACACCTTCAATACTGAGTCTAGTACATCTAGGAACAGACAACTGCATAAACATGCAGACAAATACTTTAGCAACATGCTCAGTTGGTAAGTGAAAAGTATGATGTAGCGTTAGGAAGGAAATTGCATATTCACTCTTTGCACAAAATAGTGTCCAGCAAGGACACTATTTTTAGCATAGTGTTAGGGTCAGACATATGTTAAAAATACATCTTCTTGAACATGCCCCAACCATATTCCTGTCCTAATTTTAAAAAATGGTAAGTTTCAGTGTATATGCGGTTCTTAGACAATGAGCTACTTTGTGGCTATTAGCATAAGACATCCTAAACAACAGAACCTATCATTAGTGGTTCCAATTCAAAGACTTGGTTTTTATAAGCTCCAAGAAGGATATAAGTTTCCCAATATTTGTATTACTCTTTACTGCACTAATGAAAAGTATCTGTTTCTAAAGAAAACCATTCCAATTAAAAGAAAATAAAATTTTTTGGGAAATTTCTAAACTATTGTACACTCCTTGCCAGAATGAAACCAAGACTAAGTTCTACCAAAGAGCTGATAGGACCCTGCACTTAACATCTAGAGACCTCTACTCTAGATATCACAAACTAAAGTTTTTTAAACCTTCTCAACAACCAACAGGCACTCTCAAGACGAAATTAAGGTATAACATTTACATATAAAACAGTTGCATAAATTCCTTAAAAAAAAAACTCTGGCAGTGATCAAATCTACAAACAAATGTTAGATAACAGTACGCAAAAAATAAGTACAAGGCTGACTGGTCATGGTATGATAAATAACATCAAGCTTTTATATATTTTTTTAAAAGCGCAGATAAAGGCTTATAACTAAACTATGTAACATATTCAAGTGCCAAGATAAAGAAGAATAAACTATTTACCACAACGTGAAGGGATGAAACAGATATAGCCATTACAAATTCAACAATAAGATGGATTCAGCTAAATAAAAAAGAGCCCAAATTAAAATAAGCTATACTAACTTTTGTAAGCCTAGGATTGCTTTCAAGCACACGCTTCAGACCGTCATCAGTAATTCCTGGGCATTCCAGCAGACTCAAGCATTGCAGGCTACCCTGAGCCCTATTAGTTAATAGCAAAAGAATGTCATCTGTAATCTTCTCATTCAACGGTTGATCTATGTGTATGTGCCTCCATATAAGGGGGTCTTCTCTTACTGCTGAATGCAGAGATCTGCAAACCCTTCCAACAGAGAGTAGATCCTGAACACCCAGATAATAAAGGACAAAGTTCAAGGCTGCATGAGGAGCTCCTCCATCTACCTCCGGATAGATGCAATTCTGCTCCTGACACTCCGCAGCCTGCTGCCCAGTAAAGCTAGGAGGATCGTTATTAGCAAACGATACTCCATCCATACTACAGATAGATTCAAAATCACAACAGCAGCTTGCACCTTCAGTTCCCTTTCCATTCAGACACCCATCATAGCTACAAATTTGATCAGGATTCTGACCAATTCCTTTAATTTCCGGAAACGCTTGAAACTTCAAAGCATTGTTCCAAAAAAAATTCAGACCTGCGAATAACTCGATATTCCCTTCACCAGCATCACCCCCATCGCTGACACACCCAGCATAGTCCACTTCCAGGTCCTCGAGCCATCCAGTAATTGCTGTAAAAGTGGTACTTATATCCATGCCAAAGGGATCCGCAGGTAAAAGATCAAGAATGTCCTTGGAGACAGGGTCCTGCGAGCTATCTGGGCACATATCCCTTCCATGATCAAAGCAATCATCCACCTCCCGGCCATGATGCCACGACTTCCCACAGCTTTCGGTATTATTCTCATGAATGCCTTCGACAATGTAACCATTGGCAATCCTCATTGGTGAAACTAAACTGTCCTCAGAAAAGTGCAGGGGAAATGTAGGACGACGAGAAAAATTAAGAGCCATCAAAGATCTACCCCACCCTAAAGCTATAACCCTAAGCTACCAATATTCTCCGAAGAATTATGAAAGAGAGGTGAAAGGCATGAAAAATAAAAAAGAAAGAGAAGAAGAGGAAGAGAAGTCGTGAGGAATAATATCAAGAAACCCTCAATTTTGGATGGCAAACTAAAACAACGCACCAGAATTTTAGAGCTTCTTGCGGAAAAAAGAAAAAAGTCTCAGCTTGACAGAGGTAAACGATAATCAATCTCGTCGATCAGTTATCTACATGTTCAGAAACGACGATGTTTTCCTTTGCTTTGAAATTGACTCAAACTAATTCTACAATTTATCGTTTTCAATTTTTCTTTATTCCCCTACAATTAACATAATCCGGAGTCTGAAGAACCACAAAACCAACGGATTCGGAAAAAGAACAAATGTAACAAGAAAGATTGAAGACAGGAGTAGGAAAAGGTAAACCTGAGAGTGTGATGACCAGAAAGAAAATAAAAATCAAAGCAAATTGATTTCCACGGCGATGAACAATGAAACCCTATTAAGCATAGATGGGAAAATCGTGAAGGAAAACAATGGATCTCTTGGAATCGAATCCTCGCGGATGAAGCCTTCTTCCGGATAGGAATTTGACACGGAAAAGGAGAAGAACGATTACCTTTCTCGGGAAGGAATTCGACTCCAAGAGAGAGGAGGGAGGGATAGAACCTGCCGATCGAGTTCAGAGAGAGAGAGAGGGCAAGAAAGTGCAAGAAAACAGAATTGCCACGAGAAAA